CTCCCGACACTCAGGCTGTGGCGGGAGGAGGTTCTCCCCAGCCGGCCCGGTAGTCAGTTAAGTGTGCCCTCCTGGAGAAGAGAAGGGGCCAGAGTAGCTCCAGGTAGCGGGGGGTGCTGGCATATGGATGAACAGTATTCCTCCTGACCACCCTGCCATTCACTCAAACACACGCCTCTGAAAATAGAACTGATTTCTCAAGGTAGAATTCCAAGATACCGAAGGGGAATCTGTATTTCATTAACAAAATAGATGCTATTTATTAAATTATAGTTTGGTCTTCTTTACTGACCTTCCTTCTTAATATTTCTGGAGTTTTTAACTTTCAAGAATAACTTAGTCTGCTTAACAAATTAAGCACTGGCTTTTCTCCTGAGCTAGACTGTCACAGAAAATTGGGCTGCTGAATCATCGCTGGGAATCCTATATTTGATCTTTTATCTACAACTTGCCCACTGTGCAGTATTTAAATTCCTTCAGGCAAGATACAACTAATTTACCACTTATCCAGGTTAAATATATCTGATTGTATGGCCTATCAAATCATCGTCTACGGACTAACACATTCTCATTTCAGTCAGCAGTAGAGAGAAGTCAAAGAATGTTAAATTATTTAAGAAGAGCATGTGGTACATCAATTATCGTGAAAATTTAAATGTAGTTCAGGGCTAATAAAACTCTGCTTCTCATAAAGGCTGCCACTAAAACTCTACATGGTAGCCCCAAAAATCCAGTTGCTATGGAGAGAGGAAGGTCAGGGGTTTTGTTCCTGCCCTGAGCTGCCAGGGCTAAGTGAGGTCACTCTGTAGTCACATTTCTCTGTAAGTACAGCCCTGTCTGGGGCCTGAGTCAATGAATCTGAGGCTGCCTCTCCCGTTCGAGCGGCACTGTCTGTTCTGCACGGAGGTACGGGGTGGGGGCTGGGCTCCCCCCACGCAGTGCCAGTGACAGCACCCGCTTCGGCCATGTGCGCAGAACCCAGGGCAATCATGACAGCATCTCATACACAGAACCCGGGGGCCACTCCCCAAGTCACCCCAACTCCTGGTCGTGGGTAATGACTGTGAGTGGAGGACGCAGCTGAACACATGGGTCCGAGTCCCAGGTATTGAGGCCCGTTCGATGGAGAAAGAGTGAGAATGTCAACTTTGTCCTGCTCCAACATTTAAGAGCACTTAAAACGTTTAAATTTGAGCGCAAGGAAGAAGCAGGAATTTTCCATGGGAGGAATGTCTTGGCGTCAAGATGCCCATTCTGACTTTTCTTAGCAACAGCGTGCCAGCAGCCAAGGCATCTTACACAGCCGTGAAGTGCAGGACACGATGCTTGCGTCAGCTCTCTGCCCGCGCTGCGCTCTGCTGCCCTGCCGACCGCTGTGTGTGTCCGTCTGGCCCTGCTGGCATCCACTCCCTGCCTCCTTGAGGGCCCACCAGGCCCACCCTGGTCCCCCACATTTACCTCGGTCCCATCACCCAGTGGACACGGGAAGTGCCATTAACCCCCATTTCCAGACAGCAACCCAGGTCAGGGAAGCCCCATGACTTCCTGGGGCTATGTGGCTCGGAAGGTGCAGAGCCGAGACTCACATCCTGGATTCTCTGCCTTCAAATCCAATGCTTAGGGAGCAAGGACTTCATGGTAGGCATGAGCCTGGCCTTGGCTTTGCCGGGAATAGTCCATCTCTAATGGAAGGAGACAGGGCACGACCAGAAGGAGAAAGAAGAGAATACACAATCTTCTATTATGTTTCGATGAAAATTAAGTGTGGCTGAACATCTGGCAGCTAAGTTCTCTACTGCCATCTCTGGCAAGAAGCGCACCGTCTCCATGTTTTTTTTTTTTTTTTTTTTTTTTGAGATGAAAATCTATTTACCATCCCTGACACCACGGTCTGCAAGGAGTCCTTTTCGGGGCAGCTGTGAAGCTCCTCCTCTACCTCCAAGTGACCAGCTGGGGCCTCTTCTGTTTGCTTCTTCTGGGTTGTCTATGGGCCGTTGTTACTTCACGGTTCTTAATGAGTCTCCAGGATCTTAATTCATGAGTTCAGGGAGAGCTTAAAACCCCCAGCCTCTGGCCACTAGGCAAGAGGTGGTTTTCCTGAGAAACCCAAGTCCCAGAAAACCCTGTCACGATTTCTTTTGGGACATGAAGTAAGCAAAAAGGTAGCTGACTTTTCCTTCCCTCTCTGACACTGTGAGCTGCCCGCCTCTCCTTGATCCTGGAGTAATAGAGTCGGCCTCTCAAAGACATCACCGGCCTTTTCCTCCCAGAAGCAGTGGGCAGGAGGCCTGCCTCCTCAGGAGGAATGTTGAGAGGAACTCATCTCTGGGCCGTGGCTGCCTCCACAGGGTATGACCGAATGGGTCTGTCACACGGGCATGTGGCCTGTTCCCCCGCAGCTCTGAGCTCCCCTGGGCTTCCAGCCGAACAGCCCCAGTCTACCCTCCTGTGGCGAGTGCTCTCCGGGGAGTGGCCGGCAGGGATTCATGTGACCACTGAAAATGGTGTTGGCCAAAGGCACAGCCTTTCAGCCAATGCATCTAACCCTTCCCTGAGCCCTCACTAAGAGCACGAAATATCTGGTTCCTCAGCAACTTTGACACTCAGAGTTAAGAATTTTTTGATGCTACATATTTTTAGGCCTTTTGACAAGAAGTTCTGGTACAATTTAAGAATGATGTGGATGAGGAAAGCACACTGAATGCTGGGTTTTTCAAAGCGTCGCCAAGCAATGGGCTCTAAGCAGGCTCAGTGGGAGGCTGGAGGGTGACTTCTGGCCCTTAATCCTCACCAGGTGACTGCTCACAAGGCTCCTTTAAGTCTTCACGATTGACGATTGAGACAGAAACCTTAAAGTGCGCCAGAGTTTTCTGTGACGGTTAAGTAAGGTGATTAACAGAAAGCTTTAAAACTGGCCCCTGAAGATTTAAAGACAGGGCACAAATACTTTCGAGAGAAGCAAACAAAGTAAAGAAGAAAAAGAATGTGTGACAAGGGTAAAAACTAGAGGTCCTCTCCTCTACCCATTACAGGACTTAATGTGAATGAAGGTATTTGTGTGTGCATGCAGACAGGTCGCTGTCCCATGAATGCTGACCAAGTGTCTTCATTTGGCAATATCAACAATCGGAGGAAAAGATGGGCTAGGAGAACTTTTCAGTTAATGTGTCCTGACCCTGGAGCCCTCGCCGAAAATCTGCCCTGGCAACCAACAGAATTCCTAATTAACAACAGATCTGCTCCCACCTGGCGCGGTGCCACTAGCCGCCTCCCCGTCTGCTCCCTCGCTGGGGCCGTGGTGCAGTCCCCATCACTAACCCTGAGCCTGGCTTTCATCTGTTAGGGAGCACACCCAGCAGCCACATTCGGGAACTCCTGCCTTTTTTCCCTCTCTGCTGATTTTTTTTCTCTTCTCCTTCCGCTAATCTATGACGCTCTTTTTCAACACCCCTTTAAAAGTCATCTCTGCTGTAAAACCTCGTCCATTTCTCTCTACCCTCAAAGTTCTCTCTGAATGGTTCCCCACTAAGGGTAATTTTATCAAACACAGTACTAGATGTGAAAGAGCTTTACAAGCCATAGAGTGCTAAATACTTAGAGATTATTAAGAATCCCTCTCCTCGGCACTCACATCACCAGTTCAGAGGATCATTTCTTCAATCAGCATTGTTTTGTCTCTTCTGTTGGATGCTTACTACTCCAAGCATGACCCACCAGCCTGCAGCTTCAGCGTCCCCCCACCTGCCAGAAGTGCACTGTCTGGAGTCCTGACGGTGCCTGCTGAATCCGAATCCAAACCCTCACATCTTCAGGTGAGTTCTATGTACGTTAAAATTTGAGAAGTATGGAATTCGACATTAAGGACCTCAAGGGTACAGATAGCACAGAATCGCCCAAAAGCCCTCTGGAACCTGCAGACGCCTCCGAGCTGGTGTTCTTTGGGGGGTGGGCTCAAGAATATTGCCATGTGACTGCCGGCCTGCCAGCAATAAAACTAAAAGCCTGCCTGCGTCTGCCGCATATGAATGATGCTATTTACAGGATCAGTCGTCACCTGAGATTTCTTTATAGTAAAAGCTTTAAAATCACATCTGCATAAAAAACACAGACGCCGTTTAGGATACCTCATTATCAGGCTGAGTGCTTAAGTCCTTGGCAACTGGAAGGAGAGTCAGTGAACTGTAGCCCCCTGTCCCCAGAGCGAGCTCACGTAAATCACAGAGGCTCCCTAGACTTCACAGTTCAGGCCTCGTCGCTTTACCAATGCCCCTCCTGAACATTTTAATGAAGTTCAGAAACCACAGGTATGAAAGGACAGCTGGCCTGGGACCCCCACAGCACACGTTTGGTACCTCCTCAAAGTCCTGGCCGAGAGGAGTGCTCTGGGAACCCAGGGCAGCTTCCCCTCTTCCCAGGACACTGCGGTCACGCTCTCCAACAGCAAGAAGATGAATTTGGGACTCCAATTCCTCCATCATATGATCCCTTCCTAATGGTTAGCGAAGCATCTCCCAGAAAGGCTAGACTGAGGCCAAATGAGCAAATAACCCAGGCTGAATGAATTCCATCAACTGATCATTATTTAAAGTTATCTCTTAGGGACTAGGTCTCATTTAAGGAGAACAAAGAAAAGGATCCATTATGAAGAAAAGAGGCTGAATACGTAGAGATGGGAGACTGGGTTGTGGGGTTAGATCTAGGTTAGAAGCCCAGCCCCAGTGAGGTGGCCATGTTCGCATCTTGCGGAGCCTCACTGTTTCCTCCTTTAAAATGGGGATGATACCACCGGTCTGGTGCTTCTGCAGTTCACTTGAGAGGACACACAAACTCTGGAGTCTAATACCTCACCTAGGCTAAGAGCTCAGTAGCCCAGGACACATTAGGTGTTCTTTTTCTGCTGTGGGACCTGCTCGCTGGCTCCCGAACCGTGCTGCTCGCCCCGAGGACAGAGCTGCGGTTCCGGCCCAAGTGTGAGCCACCTCCAGGAGCTTCCTGCTCACCTTGATCATTTCTGCCACGTAGCTCTCGGGCCCAGTGTACTCTGTGGAGTCCTTCACTTTCACCAGCACGATGAAACACAGATAGTGCCACATGTTGTGCTCCTCCTTGATGTGCTCTTCAAAGGTGACAGTCTTGTTGTCGAACTTGTCTCTCTCCAAGCCTACGGAGAGACGGAAAAGCCCCCGGCCCCAAGTGAGCAGCCACGGAACAGAAAAGTCTGCAAGAGAACTGTCCGCAGGGGAGGCTGCGAGTGTAGTCCCCACCTTTGTGCAGAGTTGGATTCTGGTGGCCTCCTCCGTGCATTCCCTTTTACATCCCCGCAGGGAACCCCAGGCTGCGGGGAAAATGGCCCTGGGTCTGCATCCCACCTCTGCCCCCTCCCCGTCACTGTTTGTCTCCACGTGCCTTAGTGGCCTTGTCAGGGAACGGGGGAGAACTTTAAACACATTTTGAACTTTAGCTGGTAAGTTTGTATTTTGCAGAGGTCTGGGTGAGCTACTGTGTGAAACTAGTTTCTGTGGATTCTCGGATAGAGCAAGGAAATATATGATGTATAATGGGAGCTAGATTTCTGTCAAAGAAGGGAGCACAAATATGGAAAGGGAGAAACAGTGTAATGGTGAACTGGAATGAGAGGTATGGGTATGAACTCATTCTTTTTCAGATGTATATAAAAAGACACAAAAGTGTATGGCATATGTGTATGTACACAAACACCCATGGGTGTGCATGTACATGTCTATGCTAGATCTGCACCCCAATAAGCCCTGGGAGCAGGGGTACAGCAGCAGGAATGTGCACACCTGGTCCCCGGATCTTAGCTTCTAAATACCCTTTTCCACTAGAAAGAACCAGGGCTTTTTGGGAAAATGGGCGATGCCAGGACCGGGTCAGGGAGATACAAGTTAAGCTTGAACCTGCACTATCTCGTAGCACTAATAAAGTAAGGAAGTACACAAAAAATTACAGTGACATGACAAAACAGAGAAACCAGCTTGGAGGGCAGGACACATCTGGGGCAATCTGAGCATCAAAACAAATAATGACATTAAAGGATTATAATCCACTGGATTAAATAAAAATACAGAAATCCATGTTGTCACAAATACAAAAGTATTAATACATATATAGTATACATACCTACACGAGAAGAGAAAGTTCTTTCTTAAAAAGCCAACTAACAAATGTAGAAATAATAAAATAATAAAATCATCACTGGACAGCCATCCTAATAAAAGAGGCAGGCAGGAAACATCAGTGGACATTAAAGCTAGTGGGTAAACATTTAATTTGAGGAATAATGGGATATTTACATGGTCGCAAAATATTTCCTCATAAATGTTTCCTAACTGCAAAGAGAAAAAAACCCTAACCTTTAGTGGAGAAACCTGGCAATCACCACCTTAACGAAGTGACTGGAGTTAATATCACCAGTTATAAGAGGAACAGGCATCCCGTGCCTCCTGAAATGATGCACTGAGGAGAATAAACATTTCTTTGATGTTCCTACAGAAAATGCATGACCCCAATTCTACCATGAGAAAACATCAGAGAAACCCAACCTAAGGGACATTCTACACAATAACTGACCAGACTCTTTAAAAATGTCCACAGAGGCTAAAGAGCCGTGACAATGGAATGCAACATGACCTGGGCTTCCACTGGCTATAGAGGGCATTACTAGGATAAAGGGTGAAATATGAATAGGGTCTACAGACTGAGTGACAGTATGGTATCTTTGCTAATTTCCTAATCTTAGTAACTATACTGCATATTTATGAGAGAAGCTTCTTGTTTAGGAAATAACATATTGAAATATTTAGGGATCAAGGGGCATCATGCCAGTGGATCTCAGACTATAAGAAAAACTGTGTGTATGAACAAGCAAATGAAGTAAGACATTAATATCTGGGGACTCTGGATGAAGAGTAGACAGAAATTCTTTGTATCGTTCTTATCACTTTTCTGTAACTCTGGAATTATTTCAAAACAAAAGGCTTGAAGTAGTTTTAAGGGGGCGAAAAGCAGATTTAAGTTTTTAAACGGAAAATGCTCATTTTTGGAGTAGAGGTACCAGTAGGAAATTTATATATTCACAGTTACTGTATTATGAATAATCATGAAATGACCACCCAGCTACCAGATTCCTACGTGATTACTATACATTTCCACATACCTCCCTGTAGCTATACTGACAACAGTTTCTTGGGCACCCCATGCACCCGTCTACTACTTCTCATTGAGTGCTTACAATGTGCAGGTTCTGTGCTAGGAGGGCTACACGAACCAGCTCTCTTAGCCCCACAATAATGCAGAGAAGTACATATTATTGTACCCATTTTACAGATGGAAAATCAAAGTACAGAGAGTGAAGCAACTATGCCAAGATTATGCGCCTAGGAAGCAGCAGAAACTTAATCAGAACCCAGGTCTGAGTTCTGGGCCCAGGCTCTGAACACCTCCACCATACCCTCCGAGGGGAATATTCTTTGATTTAACGCCTGCTACCATCTGCAGTGGAGACATCCACAGGCTGGCACTGGATGAAAGATGTCCAGTCTAGTTACTTAGGAGGGGGCCAAGAGATGCTCGGCAGCCCCTCCAAAAATGAAAAGACCCCAAGACACATTCATTTCAAATTATGTGCGATCACATGTCTGCCACGGGAACCTTCATTCCTGCAGACTCACTGGCGCCGGGATCTGCCGCTCGGGTCCCTCGGCTGCAAACACCTCCCAGCAGAAGGGAGGCAGAGGAGAGGCCCCCCCCAACGCCAGGGGCAGAGAGGCTTGAGGAGGCAGCGGCGCCTCGCCACAGAAAGCCTGCAGGCAGCCCGTCCGGTCCGTGGGGCCTGAGCTTCCCTGCGAAAGCTGGGCTGCCACACTCACCACAGATAAAGCACGTGGTCTTTAAGATCTCCTCCTTCTTCTGCTTCTCGCTCCTCAGGTCAGCAAAGGTGTCAATGATAACCCCAAAAATCAGATTAAGGACGATGATGATGACCATGAAGAAGAACAAGAGGTCATAGATCACTCTAGCGGCAAAGAGGGGCTCCTAGAAAAGAGGCGTCTCCATCAGTGAGGTCATGCCGCTGCCCTTTGGTCTGCAGAGCTCAGGGCAGAAGGAAGAGGCTGCCAATGGGCCCAACATTCGTGGCTCACCCGCACCCTACGGGTCTGCTCTGTCACAGGTTAAACTGGGCAGCAAACTTGAAAAGTCACAGCTGTGTCTTTTTTTCACACCCTTTGTCCAAAGGGTCAGTTCTGCCAGTGTCGTGTGGTGTGTGCACGAGAGCAGCTCCCTGGCATCTGAGGGGTCTTGGACATGTATTCAGGTAGGCCAGACCCGGCCCAGGGGGCAACAAGCATTTCCGTGCCCTGAGAGGAGGGCGAGAGCTGCCCCGTCCCACAGGGCAGGGGTCCTCGCCTCGCTCCAGGGTGGGCGGTGGAGAGAAGGAAGCCTCAGCTAGCTAGCTTTGCAAGTCTACTCCGAACTACACCAGCTCTGCTTTGTCGTGGGCTTCTGCGCAAGCTCTCTGCCTTATGCTCTGGCCCCCAGCCGCCACCCCCCCTGCTCTCCCTTCCCCTCGGGATCCAGCTACCTCTTTGGATGGCTTCCTGAGCACATCTCCTACTCCGCCCCCGCTCCTCAGCCCGTGACTCAGCACCGTGACGATGCACATCAGCAGCGTCTCACACGTGTGCTCTTTGTCTTGCTCCGTCTCTTCTGCAAGGACCAGCTCTATGAACACGGTGAGTAACAACAGATTTACAACGTGTGGGAAAAGAAAGACCATGATTCTGAGATGGTGTTCCCTGAATACCAGCTCACCAGCTACACACGGGAACAAGAAAGAATAAAACTAAGGAATCGAGGGTCATATAACTTCTTTCAAAAAGCTGAAGTTACCTGGGGCAATTCCGTTTTCATCACCAACCCTTGCTAGTTTCTCAAGCCAAGTCAGAACTGCCCTTCCCTATATTAAATCCAAAATACTCCCTATCCTATTCAGATTTAAACTCCAGTCCCAGCTCTGAACAGGCATTTGACCTAAGATAAGTTGCTTAATACTCCGAGCCACAAGCATCTCGTCTCTCCGCTGAGGGTAATCCCACAGGACCTAGGCTCCTCGCTGGCTAAATCCAGCCACGTTTTACAGCAGGTCCCCTGGATAAATAGCTTTATATTGGACGCTGCCCATTCTTAATCATTTTTGGAGGAAGAACCATGTCTTGCTGCCTATCCTGTTCTTTTCAGCAGTTGCAGGGAGAATGGTCTTGCTAAAACAGATCTCACCATACCACTCCCCCCCACCACTTCAACTTCTATTCATCCTTTGGGTGAAGTTTAACCTCCTCAGCCTAACGTGTAAGAAAGGCCCTTTGTGATCTGGCCTTCTGTTGACCTCTCTGGCTTCATTTCTTGCTACTACTCTTCCTCATGATCATTATCTCCTCCAACACACTACAGTTTACTTCCAAGCCTTTAGACACCTTATTCCCTCTACCTGGAACACCTAACCCTCCTCCACTGTCCAAGATTCTGCTGTTTTAGTTTAACTATCACCTCCGGGTGCCTATCTTCTCTATTCCCTCCTTATTCCTAGCACTTAACATACTGTCTAATAATCACCTAGGTGCCTGCTTGCCTCCTCCACCTACAACATAGTCCCTGGCAAATAGGGGGCACCCAGTAAATAGCGGCTGAATCAACCAAGCAGGTATTTTCTTCCCATGTAGCCTTCTTTTCCCTTCATCTCCCTCCTCTCTCCCAGCCTTTCCCCTTTGCTACTGGCCTTACTTCTGAACAGTAAATCTGCTTCCATCTGCTTCCAATGTCCTGTGCACCATCTAAGCTTCCAGAGGAGCCTAACACTAACATGGGGCTTAAGCCTACAAGGTCCTACCTTCTTTGGGTGCAGGAGCGGAGCAGTTCTCCACAGTCTCCACCCTACACACGTCAGAGTATAGGAACTCGCTTGCCAAACTCTCGCCGGCTTCTGGGAAAGAGAGGAAATTTTATGATGAACAATCTGGCAGCATATGGTTAAAATGTTTGAAGTCCCCAATTCACGGCTGATTAAACAATTCTTTACATAAATAACACCCTACATTCCTGCATATAAATTCAAGGCAGAGATGCAATTTACACTTTCATTTGGTGATCTGGATGGGAAAGAAGCCAGAAATGTCAATTCCTGTAGGCTTACTAGAAATATCACACTTAAATAGCACCTCTCCAACTTTAAAGACACACAGCTGAAACTCTTCGACAAATACTACTGTACGTACAGACTCCAGCAAGATTTACACCAAGTCTGCACAAAAAACATCAGCGAGCAGGAATGGAAATCCAAGGTCCAGACCAGTTTAGTTCGGAACCCTAAGATGGTTGGCAGCAAATTTCACTTAGTGTCAACTTGGAGGCTAGAGTTACATGTCAAGAATGCAGCATTTGGGAGAACAAGGCTGCCTGGCTTAGTCAGTGATAATAATTCTAGTTTGTTCCTTGGACTCGGGGCCTCTGGCTACCTGATTAAAACAAAACAAAACAAAACAAAACAACCCAGCAATCTTTCACTTAATGGTGTTAAAATATTTTAATTGAGACAAGGAACACTTGGGTATCATTCAAGTATATGATCATTTTATTTCATTCTCAAAAGTGGAAATGACTTCTGTTTGCTCTGTATAAAAATAATGTAAGCTCACTGTCAAACTTGCATACAGTTAAAAAAAAAAAAAAAGCCCCAGAGACAACCACTGCTGGGGGGAGGTAATATTCTTCCATATTTTAAAAGACATATATGAGTTTTTTCATTTTTAAAAAATATACGTGGATCCTATTATAGTTATTATTCTGCAATTTCCCACCACACCTTTGTGGGTGCTTTTCCTTGAAGGTTTACAAAGATGTGCCCTCTCTGCAGGGGATGCCACCCCATAGGACACTCTAATGGAACACTCTACATTTAGACTGGTTCCGCTTTCACACTGCAGTGAACATTCTTCCATATGCATCTGTTTCTGCATGCATAGGCAGCAGGTTTTTCCTTTAAGGATAAATTCCTAGAAGTAGATTTACCAAGCCAGAGGAATGCATCCCCCTATGCTTTCGATATATAGGGTCAAATTGTTTTTTAATAAATTGTATTCGTTTAAAAACTGACTTTAGTGAATAAGTTAAATGTAAGCTCTGGACCCTTACACTCAGCATCTGACATACCAACCACCTTTGGAATAAAGTGAGAACCAAGCCCTGGAATCAGAATTCAAGTCTGAGTGCTAGGGAGATACCCACATTGCTAAAGTCATCGTTCTCTTTAGTTCACTTACAATGAAGAACTGTTCTCTTAACATTAAAAAGATCCGAAGATCTCAAACTCACCTGGAAGAGCAGTTTCATTGGGCAACCTATCTACTTCCAAGATAAAATCATCTTTGAAGAAAAGATAGCCCACTATTGAGAACAGGTAAACCAGGATCAAAGCCAGAACTGCTGTCAAGATGATGGACCGTCCATTGCGAGTGACACTTTTAATGACATTAAGCAGAGTCTCTTCTCTGTATACCAAATCAAAAAGCTTTAAAAATGAACAAAGAGAAGACAATGGGACAGTTTTAAGAAGCCTCTAGGTTAGATGTACACGAATATCTCATAATGAAAACTTGATTTATAGAGAATTTACCCTTTTAGAAACTCAAAAGCATTCTATTATGTTAACACTTTATACTTGCTTGTCTTAGTGAAAATGGAGATGGGAAACATAGCCTAGAAAAGGTGGGCGGGAAGCAAGAACAATTTCCAGTGGTACTCATACAGTTGAGAGGTCCTGGGGATGGAGAAAATACAGGGTAGTACCAGTGGGTTTCAGGAGGCAAGGGAGAACAAAGTGATGAGGTTCCTGGCATGCGTCCGTGTAGGGAGTAGTTACTGAGTTTCTGCTAAGGGCCAGCCACTTTGGATACAGGATTGGACCAGCCCTGGCCCTGTCCTCCCGGAGCTTGGAGTCTCACAGGGAAGACCACATACAGCAGGCCAGCAGAGGTAGCAGGGGCTCTGGAGTGCGAGGGGCAATCTTAGCTCAAGCACAGGACATCAGGACAGTGGGCTAGGTACTTTCTCCTCTGCCCTGAGCCTCCGTTTCCTCATCTCCAGACGGGAGGGCAGGGTGTTGCTATGAACCCTAGCTACGTGATGTGTATTGCGTCCGGTACATAGTGTATGCTGCGCTTACATGCTGAGTATGCACAGTAAATGGTAAGGATCATTTCCTGATGAAGGGACTGGGCCAAAGTCACACAGCTCATGGCAGGGACACTGGTGGTGGTAACATACCTGGAAGCCTAAACCCTTCCCATCTCCCTAATGGGGGGAGGAGGTATGGCGGGGGTGGAGACCCCGAGCAGTGCACTGTGGGCTCACAGTCTTGGCTCGCCCTAAGAGACTACTTGCTCTTTGCAAGAAGTTGGCCTGTAGGTACTTCTAGGTATGTGGTACTGATGGCTGGTTTTCTCAGATATTTGGCTGCAGGAAGAGTACAGAGCCATGGAGGAGAGCTCTGTGGGCTTATTCTTGGACCAGAGGGCTAGTTTTAATGTGGTCCCTGTGCTGAAACCGAATCTTCTGAAGGTTCTGCCTCCACACGGCTTTGGGGAATGATTGCACAGCCAAGTGAGTCAGGGGACAAGGGTCTGAATCCTGACTCTGCTTTTAATTTGTAGTAAGATGATGATCAAGCCATGTAACCTCTCTGAACTGGCTGATCTCCGAGTCCCTTCCAATTTACAGTTTTACATCTGAGTTCATTTTCTGGTCAATTAGCCCTTCTGCCTCCATAAGCCCAATCTCTGTCCTGAGACCTGTGGTCGGGGCACCAGGTAAAGTAGGAAACTCAAAGGGAAGGAAGCAAGAAAGAAGCATTTCGTCAATATAAGAGTACAAAAAGCTAATGTTGCTATTACAGTTAAATATTTTCCAGCAACCTACTATGAAGCAGCAAGTGAGAGCAACTTCAGACAATAAACAAATGACACTTGTGTTCTGGGGTAGGAACTGTAAGATTATATAGCCACCAAGTCATTGAGATGACAAGTAATTTCTTTTTCTACTCATCTGTAATTTCTGACTTTAAGACAATGGACATGCATTACTTTATAAAGGAGAAACTTTCTTCTAATGGGAAAATGACACATGTTCAATGGAGAAAACTTTGAAAACACAAAAAAGCACAAAGAAAAACAAAAATCACCAATAACCCCACCATCTACTCAAGTTATTTCTTCTGCCCCTACTACATTGGAAAAATGTTATACAATATACCATAATACTGGCATACAGTCAGCCCCTTTCACCAAGCAATCATGAACATTTTTGTGTTAGAAATGATCACCTAGACTGTCACTGTACAGGAAAACCAGTTTACTTAACCAAAATATTTACTTTTTTTTTTAAAAGTCAAGATGTTTCCAATTGCATGTCATTAAAAATAATGCTGTGATGAACACCTCTGTACTTGCCTCTATACATACTTGTCCAGTTATTTCTTTTTGGAGAATTTCCAGAAATGGAATTGTTGGGTCAAATGTTGCAACTTTCTAGAAACATATCGATCACCCCACTGCTTTCCAGAAAGGCTGTACTGATCCACGCTGTCAGGGGACGGGGGCCCCTATAGCACACCCTCATAAGACCTGGACATGCTCAGGCCTTTGGACCTTTCCAAACATCACAGGTACAGCTCGGGATCACACTGTTGTTTTAATTAGCACATCTGCGTTTAGCATTAAGGTGGAACATTCTTCCATGTTTACTGACCATATGGATTTCTCCTCCTGTTACCTGCCCATCCATGAACTTGACACATTTTCATCTCGGGGTGTTAACATTTTCTAAGGACACATTTGGATGCAGGCTCGAGACCAGGTTCAGCCAGTATGGGGCCCCACTCTCCCACGGTCCTTTTCTGGTCTGCTGGAGTGGGGCTTTCACAACCTCGGGAGATGTGGGTTTTCCCTGCTGGAGGTCTCTCTCCAGTTCCTTTCTGTCACAGGTTTCAGTACTTTGTCTGTGATTCTCAATAAACACGTTAAATACTACTTTTGATACCAAAAGTAACATGTCACCTGAGGTCACAGACAAGTCACAGCCAGAAACACATACGAGAGGCATCCAGCCACCATCTGGTTGGATCCTGGTGAGTTCTCCAAAAGCGAGCTGAGCTCAGGTAGTGCTGGCAGCTCGGAGTTACTGTTTCTGTGACGGATGAGAGACGTGAAAGCAAGAATGCAAACTGCACTGGGAAATACCAGCCACACCGAAGCAGGGACTTTTTCACAAGCTCAGATGAAAGGCAGTTTGGAGCTGGGCTTATGAACTGACTCGGCAGTCACCAGAGCTCAGCTGCTCTCTGGTCTCTGGCACTCACTCGGTGACTCTGGGCAAGTCACCCAACCTCACCTAGCCTCAGTTTCGCCATCTGTCATTTGCAGACATCATCTACTTCAGAAGTCGTGGTGAGAGACAGTATGAAAAGAGCACATGGGGAACATTCAATAAATGGCGGTAACGATGATTTTGTGGTCCGTGAGGCCTGTGAGGGCAGAGAGAGTATTGGTTTGTCTCCCTACAACAGCCCTGCGTCTAGCATGGGCGCCAGCCGTCATCTCGAAGGACCAAAAGCAGAGGACTTGAAGGTAGAGACAGGGAAACGAAGCCAACAGGACACAGAACGTAGGCAAAATCACACCCTCCCAGGGAGAGATGGCACTGTCTGAAGCAGAATCTCCTGTCTCTTGGGAGAGATCCCTCGGTTGGGATGAGAGAGACCTCCAACTGAGCTCTACCTCCTTGCCTAGGAGGACATGGGTCTCCCTGACTCCAAAACCAGATCCTCGGGGTGCCTGGGTGGCTCAGTCGTTAAGCGTTTGCCTTTGGCTCAGGTCATGATCCCAGGGTCCTGGGATCGAACCCGGCATCGGGCTCCCTGCTCTGTGGGAAGCCTGCTTCTCCCTCTCCCACTACCCCCTGCTTGTGTTCCCTCTCTCTCTGTGTCTCTGTCAAATAAATAAATAAAAATCTTTAAAAAAAAAAAAAAACCACCCCCCCCCCCGATCCTTATCCAGGGACATTATTGTAAGAGACAAAAAGGCTCAGAAATATACACAGAGCTCTCAAGATTTCTGATACAGAGTGACCAAAATAGGCCACATAATGGCCATCACAAGTGCATCCAGAGACCTCTTTACCTAAAACCTCAAACTATAGCCAGACCTATTTTAAAATGAGGTAAAACAATCCATTTCCCTCAGCCTGCCAACATCTACCACTAATGGAATGAGCTAATCCTGATGACCTGAAAGGTGAATTCTTTATGGTGTTTTGGATGGCAGAGGAAGTAAGTGGTGACAAAGACAGTAATAGCTAGAATTGCTAAGCATTTCTTGTGTTGTAGTGCTATTCTAAGGCCCTGACATGCACAGTTGCAGATAATCCCTGTGGCAGCCCTGTAAGGGGGACAGCTTGTTCTCGTTTTGTAGATGGGGAAACTGAGGCACATAGCAATTCAGTAACCAGTCCAGAGGTCACATGGAGAATACCTCCCAGAAGTTTTCCTTGTTCTACCCTTGCTCTACCCTTGTTTTCCTTGCTCTACCCTTTGCAAATAAATCCCTTTGATCATTTTTTATCCTCACTAACATTTTAATTCTTCTAGTCCCTTTATGGATAGTTCTGCTTGCAGATAGCTCAGCTTTATGCTTCTTGTCATTTGATGTAGGTACAAGGCAAAGGTTTCTTATCTACAACTCTATAGGTCTAGATTCCCTCTAATGACAGGAAAGTAAGTAGATATTTGGTCTATAATTTAAAAACCTGTTCAGGAAGAAGGTGACTGAACCAACTCATTTTATAGACTATCAAGACATTAATCACTTGGCTCAGATTGGAACCAAAGAACTTCCAGCGAAAAGGTCTCCCGGACCAATAAATCTACTGAGCTCCCGTCATAGATCTTGGGACTTTGAAAAAACTCCTCCTCTTATTTCGTCACTACATGTTCTCCCTGGGAAGCGGATCCCATGAGAACTGTCAGATGATGACAGTCTCAAAAAACATTCTCCCTGGTAAGCACTGGCTGAGTCCAAGAAAGAAAGCAAAGCAAAGATGCATGTGGAGGACACATCCCCGATCCAGATGGTAGGCACCGTATACCACTGGAAAGTGAGAGGCCCAATGTGCACACAAGCAGCACAATCACACACCTCTTGGTCCCCTACCAGCTGCCCTGCTCCCTGGGTAACTTTCTTCTCCAGATACTGGAAATGAGGCATGTGACCTTGTTAGCCCTGACATACCAATCACCATTAAAAGGAGGGGTCTGTGAGGAGAGACACGGGACACTCCTAGTTTTCGACATGTAAAATCTTTCCCTACCAGGAACTCACCAGCAGACTGTAGAAGAATTCGTGCACAAGGAGGCCCATGGCGCAGATCAGCAGATACAACAAATGGTAAAGGAACTCAACATCCAGAACCATGGCTCGGTAGCCTCTGGTGAATGTTCCACAGTTGCCCACAAAACTCATTAGAAAGATGATTTTATTGCAGACCTGAGAATAATGACAGGAACAGCCAGATAAGCACAGACTTCGTGACAGTCGAGGGCCATTTTCACGCAATGGTATTTCCACAACTGTGCCCAAACAAAGCTTCCTTTTGCACTAAGTGCCCACCGAACCCGACCAGAACCATTTTATAGATCTAAGTCATATCGTTACTTTGCTTTTCAGGCATATTACAAATTATGTGGTAGTCAAATAACTTCATGAGCAATAGTAATCAAGTGGCATTTGTATATGACAAAAACAAAATTAACACATACTGAAATTATGATTTTCGAAATGAGATATGAATCATTTCTAACATTCTTATATGAGTTAGTCAAACACAGAAGTCACCTCAATCTATGAACCCTGTGATCAGCATGAATAAAAGCATTTTCTGAATTTCTGTTACATTCTAGGCATTATAAGGGTTGCAGTTTAATGAGAACCAGCTAGTTCTTGTCTTTCATTGCTCCTAAATTCATAGAGGAAATAATTTTGTTGGGGGGAAAAAAAAAGTAAGGGACTTCAGGATGAGTTCTGTTTCCCTGCCCCCGCCCCCGGGATTAATAATTTTTCTTTGGGGATCCATCCCTTTCCATGTATCAGTCCTTGAAATCTGGGTGGGGCTCCATCCCAGTCAATCGGCATAAGGACTGGTTCCGGGATAGTCACATGACCCAATGGAACCAGTGATATCCGATGAGAGCTTTCCTGGGACTGCAGCAAGAGACAACTTTATTGCTTCATCCTGACCTTGAACTTGAGAGAAAGTAAGCTTTGAAGCTGCTAGCATCCACCTCGCCCTACCACGGAGCCTGAGTACAATCGATGTGGAGCCCAAAGATGGAACTGGATCCTGAGGCTACTGTCTGGGCACCTGTACTCAGCTGCACCTGATGCTAGGATCTTCATTTCTCAGTCACACGAGCCAATGCATCTTCTCCTTTGCTTCAGCTGGCATGGATTCGGGTTTTTGACACTTGCAGCCGGAGTTTGAGCTGCTGTGTAATATAGTTCCACCTCTAATAGAAACCCCATGCCCAAAAGTCCATCTCCAGCAACACGCTGACAGAAACACTCTGATCAAGAGAAGACTGGAAGGGAAAGCTTTTCGGATGTACTTGGTAAAACCATCTTCTGCTCCCCTTGCTGCCTTGGCCACAGGTGCCAGGGAAATCCTGCCTGTTAATCTGGCCAGGCAGTGGAAGAGAGCTTCTCCGCCATCAGAAAAGTGAGGAAGCCAACACCCACAGAGAACATTAGGCTTTCTCAGACAGGATAAACATTCAACCCCCCAGTACTTTTCCCCTAATATTCTACCCATCACTAGTATAGGATCTTTCACTGGGTGAGAAAGTATCCTTGACCTTGGATGATCTGTGTTGATGGGGTTTCAGGAAAACAAACAAACAAAAGGCCATGCTCTGATTATATTCTAGGACCTCAGACATGCCTCGGCTCCTGCTGTCTCAACAGAGCAATCTGCTTTACTTGAATCCGCTCTGCCCTCGGTTTAAACAACTTCTGCCCTCGTCTGCTCCATTGCTTCAGCAGCCCATATGTATTCACGGTCTTGGCCTGGTGCCCCCACCTCCTCCCGACCCTGCTTAATCAGTCTGACGTTTGGCTTCTGGCCTCACCTCTCCCCCAGTCTACAAAGGACCCAGTCAGGGTGCAGGCGGCAGTCTGTCGGCCCTTAGCACCCAATCCCGGCTCCTGCAACACGACGGCTCACCAGCCCACCCATCCCACCACTCTGCCGGCACCTGGCTGCCAGGACACCACCCTGTCCCACTTCGCCGGCCCTTGTATGCCCAATGCTCCTTCTCTGCCCATAACTACTTTCTTTTGTCTCCTATGTGCTCCATGTGAGTGTTTACCTTTTTTCATTCACTCTAGTTACTTATTATAGTTATTTCAGCTCTCCTCACCCAGCTTTTACTATAAATGGTAATTGCCTAGTTTGAGTCTTTCCCCCAAATGATTTATGTTAAAGAAGAGATGCCTGTGGAATGATTAAAGCCCAGAGAAACAATGACAAAAAACTAAACAGCCCATAAGACAACAACCCCTGAAATACTGAGTTTTTTCCCTTTTATTTTTTTGTTTATTCTATATTTCCTTCTTAAGTAGATTCCTCTTAATGATACCTACATCAGTGAATGACACCTACCTTCCCTTCTGTAACACTGCTAAGTCTTTGTCACTCTGGTCATATGTTTTCAAATGCCACAGCTAACAATGGCTCGCCTTATCATCTCAAGCCTAGTAAATCAACAATTTAAGTACATTTTCACCCTGAAAATTAGGTCCCTGCATGACTCCACTTTAGTTGCATTATTCTTTTCCTAGTCATCTGTGACTGAAAATTTGGAGTTGGGGTTGCCTCCTTCATCACCCCATCAAGATAGTAATAACCTTATTGGCCTGGAGAAAAGGACCCCGACTGAGGCCCTACACGGCATTCAGGTGTGAGGCTCTGACTCACAAAACGTTACCCTGCCCTTCCCAGCTCTGACATCTGTACCTGCTTCTTCCTTCCATGCTCTGACCAAGACCCAGGCTTGTCACACCTAGTCAAGAGCTCTGCTGGGGGTCTGAAATGGTCCTCCTGCCTCCAGGCCCTCCCACCTGAATCCACATAACATTCCACTACTTGAGGGCATTTTTCCAAGAATACTTTTTTGTATATGCCATTTCTTTGCTCAAAAAAACTTGAGTCATTTCCCACTACTGGGAATAGAGTTTCCCAACCTATATTCTACAACACTAATTCCAAGTGATACTTAAAACAAAATGTGGGCAAGTAAGTTTAGGAAACAGAGATACACGGTTTCCATTTCTTGGAGATTCATAACCCTTATCATGCACGTTAAAGTCTCTCAGAAATCCTAGAGTAAAAACCCTTTAATTTTGTTTAACCCAGGCTCTCCCTCACGGACTAGTCCACTGAACCTCTTTCTCACCTAAGATTTATCAACTTGGAGGCTGCTTTGGAAACATTGACCTTGGAGGACGATGCCCAAGGGCATTCTCCTACCATGCAGTGTCCTGGTAACCTGTGCCGGGAGTAGGTCCCATGTATCCCTCCCTGAACCCCAGTGGAGGGAAACGCTCCTGCTGGCTCTCTCTTGAGAGTGTCCTGGGCCTTCCCCACTGCTCTGGCCTGTGGGGCCTACAGCAGAATGCTCTTCTCAATTTCTGCTTTCTGGCCCGGTCCTAGCCATTCTCCAAGACAGAGCTGAAACCCCACCTCCTCCCCTGGGGCTTGTCCACTTGAAGTGGTCCCTTCTCCCCCAATGTCCTGGCTGCCTTTGCCATGTGAATACCCATCTGGGGACATTTACTGCTGCACTGAATTACTATATTAACCTTATTTTGCAACATGACTTCCATTTCTACACAGCAAAACCTCAGCTTCCTTATATGCTCAGGGCAGAAACCTCTAGAAAGCAGTTTCGATCCCCACAGTGCCTCCCATGTCCAAACCTTTTGCTTCCTTTCACCAGGAAACCTCTCCAACCTATGGTCCTGTATCAGCTATCTCTGCTTCCTAAGAATTCTCCCTACGGGTGCAGGTGGCATCTATCCTTCAACTACAGTGGAAGAGCACTTCCAAATGTCACCACTGACTTTGAGATAACCCCGATTCTCTCCTTACCTCTCTACCTGCTCCATCTCTGTCTGAACAAGTCCTTCTGCCTCTTCTCCTGGCTCCGTGTGGTCCTCACCAGAAGTGGGTGTGCTGTATTAATATCTGACCATCTGACTGATACCATTTAATATTTGACCATTCGGCTAAAATCTCCTGTCCCCCCAAACCTCTGACCTGACTGGGAAAAATAATTTACATCTCCACTGCTCTCCCTCTTCCTGCCTCACTTCTGAGAGGGAAATTCCCTAAAAAGGAGAGTGTGGATGCCCGGGTAATAGATTAAGAGGTTCACTGTACCGTGAGAAGGTTAAGAGGGAGATGTCCACCCACGCAACTCTTGCTTCTGCTATTTTAACAGCTGACCTGAACAGTCTTTTGCCGCACTGAAAGCCCAGGCCAAGATCCTAGGAACCAGCATGGGAGGCATTCCTGTTCGCATGTCAACAAGAACGCGGCTATGAAGGTATTTACACTTACATTGAAAGCTCCCAGAAGAAACAACGTGGGTTGTAATCCAACTGAAAATATCAACCGGAGAATTGTGGAAGCAATTAAGGCCCGGATGCCATGGGGCTTGGGGAGGGCAATGACAATGGCCAGAGAGATGAGCATGGCTGTCCACAGCAGTCCTGACCAGTGTGGCTCCAGTGTTCCTGAAAAGACAGGCGGGGCTCTCAAAGATCAGTGCTTTCATGGAGTAAAAGGCGACAGACCAAAATGGGCTTAATGACAGTTTCTGCAATCACCAAACTGGCCTTACTGTCCAAACTCTCACCTCCAGTTCTGTGCCCCAGATGTAATCCGTCACACATCCATGTTTTCTTACCTCCAAGCCTTGACCTGTGTTCCTACTACCTGGGAAATTCTTTTCCCTTTCCTATTCATCCTAGGTCTTAGCTGAGATGTCAACTCTTCCAAAAACCTCCCCACCCCCTTCCTCTTCAGAAAACTATGCCAGGCGCCTCTCCCTCTCTGTGTTCTCAGTACTCACTCCAGTCATCCCAGTAGAACACTATTTTCTGGTGGTCAGTTTACTTGTCTTTCTCTCCCCTCCTACCCTAATTGCCCCCCAATCGGGTTCCCCCCAACCAAATTCCCTGAGGGAAGCACACAGCACCCCGTAGATGCTCGTCAAATGAATCTGTTCAATCAATAAAACTCACACATGTATCACATTTCACTCTTCGGGAAGGGAAACTGGAAGCCTAAACTTCTAATTTCTATTAAAAGTATGCAAAGGAAAATTGCAGGTCCCTTGCCTGAATCAGATTTCTTCAAGGGAAGGAGGAAGGCAACTTCCGTATCATTAACATCATCCTACAATTAGATTATCCTTGTAGTCAAAGAGCTTATACCAGTTTTTGTCATCTCTTGCTATTTCAAGTTCTATTTAGAGTGTCCCACGAGACGGCTTAGTTATATAACATGAGCCAACATGGCTAAAAATATAGTTCTGTAAAACACTCATTAAAAAAAAAAAATAAAACCCTATTTCAAATGCTGTCACATTTTGAGTCTCCTTCAGATGTAAACAAGCAGCACTACATGATTAAGGCCACTTATATAAAGGAGTTTCACTTCTCCAGAACTGCTGGGATTGAAGCCCCACCCAGGAAAGAGACACCCTTGCGAGTTACAGCTCTTCCCTGAGCCTGCTGGCTGCCCTAGTTCATTCTGTTCATGCCGCTGAGACACTTTTTCTCTAGAAACTGTTGCCCAACTCCCAACCCCTTACCTCTTCCCTTTTGATATCCCTCAAAGGAAAACCTGATTAAAAATGGGCACAGAGAGGCAGAAGCTTTTCAGAAATTTGGGAAGATGTGGATATCGAGGCTTATGTCATTTCTTGTGCATTTAACAGTGGTTAGATATCCTATATTAAGCCCTTTACATTGACTATCATTTATGTGATCCTCCCAACCAGCTTATGATTCTCTTCATTTTCCTCTAGAGGAAACTGCGTCTTGGATTACTTATCAGGCCTAAGGTGACACAGCAAATGGCCGGAGTCTGTATGCCTCTGAAACTGATGGTCCTTAATCACCAATTTAAAAAAATAACACATAAAATCCACTGATTTTCAGCTTAACGTGATGAATTCCGGCATGGGCTAATAGATACGTGGCAGCCATAGAACCACATGTAACTGCCAACACAATCAAGATATAAACCTTTTTACTCCCCCGAAAGGTTTCCTCTGCTCTTTGCAGTTGTGGCCTTGCCCCAGCTCCACTCCTAGGCAGCCACTGGTCTCCTTCCTAGCTTTGCACTTTCTAGAACTTCATAAAAATGGAAACAAGCAGATTAGGAGGTAGTCTTTTTCATTCTTTCACTTAGCAAATTTTTAAGATTCAGTCAGGTTATTTTGTGTATTAATATGTTGTCCTTTCTATTGCTGAGTAATATTCCACAATATGGATATACCACAATTTACATATCCACTCAACAATTGATGTATATTTGGGTTGTTCCCAGTTTGCAGTTATTATAAATAAGGTTACTGGGAACATTCAAGTACGAATCTTGGAATGGGTGTATGTTTTCCTTTGCCTTGGACAAATACATGGAAATAAGATTTCTGGATCCTATGTTTAACTTCCTACAACACAACCATACTGTCTTCCAGAGTGACTCTGCCATCCAGTCGTACGTGGGAGTTCCACTTGTTCCACATCATCACCAATACTTGGTATAGTCAGTATTTTCTTCTTATTTATTATTTGCTCATTTTTATTTAGTATTTCAGCATTTTCAATTTCAGCCATTCTTGTAGGTTTCTCCTGGTATGCCATTCTAGTTTTCATTTGCATTTCTCTGATAACTACTGATGTTGAATATCTTTTTTATGTGCTTATTGGCCAATCTCTTGTGAAATATCTGATCACATCTTTTGCCCACTGTTTTAATCAAGTTGTCTTTTTATTATTGAATTGTAAGAGTTCTTTATGTATTCAGTATATAAGCCTTTTGTCAGATACATGTTTTGTCAATATTTTCTCCTAGTCTGTGTCTTGCTTTTCATTTTCTTAAGTGTTTAATCGCCATCTTAAACTGCCTCAAGATCTCAGTATAATAAATGGGACCAGTACAGTGGACATACCCAAATCCCGAAGGGGCCGAAATAAAAACCTGTTGTCTCCCCACTATAAAAGAAGTGTTAAAAAAATAATGCTAGATTTTTAAAAAAACCAATTATAGAAAGACATCTTTAAGACAATTGGAGAAACATGAATATGGACAAGCTATTACATGATTTGCTGTTAGTTCTGTTAGATATGATAATGTTATGGTAATTATACATATTTTGCAATATTCTTAGAAGTTAGAGATGCACACTGAAATATTTATGGGCAAAACAACAAGATGTCTAGACTTATTTAAAATCTTTCAGAAAATACAGTAGGAGAATAGATGAAACAAGATGGACAAAATGTTGGTAGTTGTTAAAGCTGGGCTAATAGATACGTGGCAGTATAGTAACTTATTACTTGTATATTTGAAAATTTCAAAAATGGTAATGTTTTAAAAGGAGTACCATATTTGCTTTAATCATCATAGCATGCTCACAGATTCAGTAAAAAATCTGAATGTGCCCAGGTTTCATGCTTTTGGAGCCTGTGTGACTCATCAGTTCTTAAATAAAGGGGGAAAATGATACTTTTGAAAAGGAGCTTTTAAGGCCACCAGTGTTCTGGGCAGCCACAGGCCTACGATGCCACAGAGCCCTCATCAAAAGGGGGACATTCAAAGGGGACACTTTGGAAATCCTGGTTTTAGAGTCAAACATGAACAAACACTGATCTTAAAGAAATACTTTCAGGTAACCAACCAGATCTTATTTTGAGGCTGGGCTAATACAACCCTCCTCCTGAAGATGGTTAGTAGCGAGAAGATGGTCCCCACATGTCTTACAAGTGGAAAAATAAATCCCTCTGAGAGTGAACTGATGTGTTTGAGGTGAGCTCGGTCACTGTGTAGTGGAAAAGGCTTCCTGAGGTCAGCTCAATCTTCCCTTCTGGGAGATCTAATGATGCTTTCCATTTAGTCCACACACATGAAACACTGCAGCCCACACTGCCAGAACAGGAAGCCAGAGTCGATGCCACATTGAGAACCCAACACCGTAGAGTTGGAAGAACCTTTAACAGTCTTCTCATCAGTGGGTCTTGAACTTGTTTGGGCCAGAAATAGGATGCCCCAGGGATCCTGACTGGGTCAACCACTGTTTTTCCCTAAACTATACAGGGATTTCCAAATCCACATCAAGGTTTTACAACTACTGGGTCAATTTAAGCACCTTTTTACAGAGAAGCCAAGGAAGACTAATTGAAGTTGCATGCCCAGAGTCGTGTGAGGATGTGGCAGAGCCAGGCCCGGACACTGAGTCTGGATGTTGTGAGTCTAGATTTTCCACTGGACGAGGCTGACCACTGCAGAGGAGGGGAGCTGTCAACTCCCTCTCCTCAGACATGGGCCTCAACGTGGCCACAAGTGACCAGTGAAGAAAATGGTCAAAGCGTGTAATAAAACGATTTTAAATATTTTTAAAGAAATGGGGGATAAAGGAAAACACATCCAAAGTAATGGTTGAAGAATCGGTTATGATGAGCCTAAGGACTTCCCTGAGATGCAAAGGGAGCGGGGCTCTGTCACTCCGACAGACCACTTCACACTCGCACCTCTGCTGACCTGCAGAATCTCTTCACACAGGGGCACTTATTTTCCTAACATGGCATTAAAAAGGAAAGTACCCCCAGACTTGCGTTTAGGTGTTGCTTTTGGGGGGAAAATAATCACTCAAATGAAGCTTTCAGTGTAACTGAAGGCCAAACAGAAAACCTAACTGCTCGAATGGATATGTTGGATACCTGAGCATCACAGAACAAGTCATCACTTTCAAAATGGACCTTAAGTAGACTTTAAGTCTAGACATGCTGTCTCATTACGTATACACATCTGCATTATTAGGCTCAAGAGCTAAGCCTTGAACTCCTGCACTGTTTTGGTGTCTTACTTTTGGGCTCTTCATTCCATATGTTTCACAAAAGGTGGCTGCTGGTAGGTTTGTGACATACATATGTGAGATGATCTGCCAAATAGCTCTCATGAAAAATGTAGCTGAGAAGACCTCCCAAAAGGCTATCCAGGGTGTCAGAAAAGGGGCCGTGGATGTGTCACAGCAAAGGGGCTTCTGCCAGCCCCCAGAGCCCCACAAGTGTGCATGACTCTAGAATGCTGTCAAGCAAACCGAAGAGCTGCAAACACAAAGATGCCCCTCCTGACTGTTGCCTGTTCTCAGCAAGATGTGTAGAGTGCACATGGCAGGTGGCTGGAAAGAGATGGTGAGGATGGGGGGATATCCATAAGGACCAGGGACGGACATCATGTTCTATTGCATGAGTAGTGGCACACGGCTCTTTATAAACTAAATATCCAAGGAGGTGCAGTCTTCGGTCATTCAAGTCCTGCCTCCCTGAGCCCCTTGCCAAAATAATTAATGGATTAATTAATTGATTAAAAAAATCCAGACATGTCTTAAAAATTCTTCACTCTGAAATTAATTCTGTAAGTATGGTATGGGGAAAATAATCTAGTGGACTGAGCATCGAGATGTCTATGTTCTAGGGTTAGCTCTACCACTACCTAGCTGTGAAAGTTTGGCACGATCTCTCAACTTTTTGGAGACAAAGTTTCCCAGCATATAAAACAAGGAGGCTGATTGAGACCATCTCTTATAGGTTTCAGAGCGTACAGCTTCTTTCTTTCCTGGTAGATAAATGTGGACACAAAATTTACGTTCTTTTAAATGAGATTTAAAAATAAGTCTGTGGTGGGGGCACCTGGGTGGCTCAGTCGTTAAGCGTCTGCCTTCGGCTCAGGTCATGGTCCCAGGGTCCTGGGATCGAGCCCCGCATCGGGCTCCCTGCTCCGCGGGAAGCCTGCTTCTCCCTCCCCACTCCCCCTGCTTGTGTTCCCTCTCTCGCTGTGTCTCTCTCTGTCAAATAAATAATAAAATCTTAAAAACAAAACAAAACAAAACTAAGTCTGCGGTGAAAGCTACAATCTCATCCCGTCTGAAAATGGGTAAGTGGGATCCCATAATACTGCACCAACACTTCCAGGGACCATATTTAAGATGCAAGTCATAACCTTCCTGCTGCTTCTCATTGTTTCCTTGAAATTAAAAATATGGGTACCTCCTCTGACTCCTTTAAATGGGTAGAAAAACGCCACGAGCAGATTCATCAGGACAGCCAGGTTAAATGAAATGCTGCTCCAGAAAGACATGTTGCGGGCACACCAGTACAGAACGGGCTGGGCTGTGAAAACAAAGACCAAGCCATGTAAGGTTCAAAGCCACAAGTCAGAACACTGGGAACCCCACTCGGCCCTTCCTCCCGCTCTGCCCCACAAGCCCACTTTTGTTCCCAGTTTTTACCACAACAGTAAAAAATGATCATTTGTTTTGAGGTTGACTCATAGGCTCATAACGACATCAGATTGGTTTATTTCTGTTTGGAGTAGTTACTGGAACAGAAGATGCATTTGGGGACAAGGGAGAGAAGAAAAGGAGAAAAGTTGGAACATCTAAAAACCCTGCATGCCCCAGTCAGCACCACCAGTTATGGAATCTGGGGTTGCCCAGAGTTCATGCACTGAATCCTCAGTCCTTCCAGGGCTCTGGGACCAGAGGAAATGCCCAGAGAGACACAAGAACTTAATCAGCCTTTCAGAAGTGTGGGGCTCCAGCTGGAGGGACACACAGCATTTAGAGTTGGCCCAGCAGGGCCCCAGACGAGGGAGGCTACCATTGCCACCCTCAAAATCCTCCACTAACTCACTGGTGCCTAAAAGCTAGACAATGATCCCTTTCCTGACACTGAGACATTTTCCATTTTCCTGAAGTCTGATGATCATGCCGGGGGCAGGGGAACTACGGGAGGGAGTTACTGACTGGGTAGTCAGCAGTAGAGATCCCATTCCTAAAGGCTACAGTAGAGAAAGGATGTGGTACCAAACCCATCACTGAAGGGCGAGAGACATTTTGCATATTGCTGCCATCTGATTCTGTAGTCGCCTAGAAGCCATACCATACCGGCCAGGCATGTTCGGTGTTAGAACAACAAGCCTCCGGCCACACCATGTGGGGTGGTGCTTCCTTTCCCTCCAAGTTTTTCTCCAGTGGTGCCTTAGACTTAGGATGATGCTTAAAAATAGATGTGGTAGGAATAATTTCAGTCTCCATGCCAGAAGCAGAGTTTCCAAAAGATAGCCTCATTCCACATTATCTCCCTCCAAAGAAATATGGAGTATGGGAGAATGGGTCTCTAGAGCGTGTTTCTCTTTCCCAATGAAGTCATCATATAACTTTAGGACAGGAGCCAATGACAAATTCAATGGCCCCGTAATGATGCCTAGAGCAAGCAGCCAAGTCTCTGAAAGCTTCTCTCCAAAATAAAGTTATGGCACAATTAAACAGAGCCCCGGGTAATTTAATAATTGCTCATTTCATGTTTGCACTTGGAAACCGGAAACGTTTCCAAAGTCTAGAGTTTTAGAGCTAGAAGCACTGTCTAATTTAAAATCTCTTGTTTTATGAGGGAAACTGAGGCCCAGCAGGGGGGAGAAGCTGTGGAGATCTCATCACCCAGGTCAGTGATCCTCTCGAGTCAGACAAGGATAGAGGAAGTGGCTCATGTCACCATTCAGTAGAGGAGCTGACCAGGACTCGGTCAACCTCCACTAACAATAAACTTTTTTTTTTTTTTTTAAGTTAATTGCCGAAACAAATTTAAGATGAGAAATCATCTGTTCTGGAAACAATAGCTACTGGTGTTTCTTCTGGGACTGAAGCCCGTGTCTGATTTGGATATGGAAACTCCAGAAGAGACAGGTGGCAAGAACGGCAAAGGGTTGGTAATGATTGGAGCTGAGTGGTGGGTACATGGGAATTTATAATATCCTCTCCACATTAGCGTACATATAAAAAGCTCATATGAGGCAAAAGAAAAACAGGAAGTGGCAAAGCTCGGTGATGGACTATGTAAGCCAAAATTCTCTTTAAGGGGGTTTTCAATATCAAATGTAAGAGTAAGAGTAGCCATTGTAGGACACTTTCATTTAATTCTAATAAATGGCCCTTAAGTATGGCATAGAGTTCACAAATAAATCATATATTTATAAAGCTAACATACTTAAATTGTGTCATTCCAAGTATGATGAACAAATAGTCCTTCAAATCAACTGGGTATCTATCCATGGGCAAAAAGATACTTAAAAACCAACCTTGACACGCACGATCTTCTATTTCCTATGTCCCCATCTAACTTTCCAGACTCTTCTCCCACTTCCCTTCCCCAGATAGGCCACCTTTACATCCCAGTCTAGTGGTGGCTCCCTGAACATACGCTGCACCTCCAGGCTCAGTGCACTGTCCCCATGGTGGTTTAAAAATACGTCCACAAAGTCTTTGATGCTCTCCTCTTCGAGGGGTACAGCTCAATCCCCCTCCCCTTGACTGTGGGATGGACTTAGTTACTGCTTCTGGGAGAAGACAGAAGTGACAGGAGTGCTTCCTGACATTTGGTCATAAAAGGCCCTGCAGCTTCCTCCTTGCACGTGCATGCTCACGCTCTCCTCAGTCATCTGCTCTGAGGAAACCGCCTGCCACGTCATGTGGAACTCAAGCAGCCCTACAGAGGGGCCCATATGGAGAAGAAGTGAGGCCTCCTACCAGCAGCCACGTGAGTGAGCAGAGAAGTGGATCCTCTGGGTCCACCCAGCCTTCAGACGAGGAGGCCCTGGCTGCCAACTTGACAGCAACCTCATGAAAAACCCTGAGTCAGAACCACCCAGCTAAGCCACTCCCAAACTCCGGGCCCTGAGAAACTGGGAGGACATAAATATTTACTGTTTGAAGCCACTGAATTTTGAGGTCATTTATTATACAGCAATATAACACAACTAACATACCTTGTGTGATGCATAAATAGTAACACCCCCCAAAGATGTCCACATCCTAATTTTTGGAATCAATGAATATGTTACCTTTCATGGGAAAAGGGACTCCACAAATGTGATAAAGTTAAGGATCTGGAGATGGGGAAATTATCCTGGATTATTCAGTGGGCCCAATATAATCACAAAAAGTGATTAAAAGTGAAGGATGGGTGTGGGAGTGTCAGGGCAGAGTCATACGGCGTGAGAAAGGCTCTCCTGGTCATGGCTGGCTTTGCAGATGGAGGAAGAAGCCAAGAGCCAGCGAATGCAGGAAGCCCCTAGAAGCTGGAAAAAAAGCTAGAGCCTCCAGTAGGCGGGCGGTCCTGCCAACACCCTGATTTTAGCCCAGTGAGAACCTTTGTGCATTTCTGAGCTCCAGAACTTTAAGACAGTAGATGTATGCTGCTGTAAGCCTCCAAGTTTGTGGTAATCTGTTAGAGTAGCAACAGGAAATGCAGACGCCTTCCCTTTCTCCAAACTCTCAGGACTGTGTTTATCCAAATCCTATCTACCCTTCCAGATGCTGTTCAGATGCCACCTTTTCTCAGAAGCTTGTCTTTCCCACACTTCCACAGCGTGTCACTGCTTAATTACAGCCCTGCTCATCGTTAGTCGCCTCAATTACAACCACTTAAAAATATCCTGTGTTGCCTGCCCCCATAAGATGGTAGGTTCCCACAGGAAGGAATCATAGCTTACACAGTGTTGAACCCCCCCCCCCACCGTACTTTGTATGTTTTCTACTTATTAGGGGTACAAGTTGGCTGGATCGACACACCTGCTACCTCACAGAAAAAGACAGGGTGCTGTGACCCCAGTGAGGCAGGTCAGTCTAACGACCTACATCCCAGAGCACGACTTGGTAACCCTCTTTCCTAGCCTTTGTATCTGTTCTCCTGAGGGAACTGGGCCTGGCTGGGGTACCTGGACTCTATGTATATAAAAAACAGAATTGCCCAGCTCTATTTGGATGGGTGTGACAACCATGAGGGAAAACCCCAAGCAGGAAAAGGTCAGCATATGCAACTCTGCCTCAGTTTCCTCTTTCACTATCTTCTCATTTTCTTAGCCCAGAGCTTTCACTTCACTGGGGCTGGGAACGTCAGGAGAAGGGGTCAGAGAGGCCCAGGTGAGAGAGGACGTGAGCGCGCTGAAGGGGGCATGCGTGTGTGCGCGCCTGTGTGTGCGTGCATTCTGTGAGAGGAGCAGGGAGTAAGGCTTCGGGAGAGCTTAGGAACTGACTATCTTAATACCTGCAGAAGCAATTACTGACTGACATCAGTCTTAGACAGACTTGGCTTTATATCTGAGCCGTGGCTACAGATGTACCAAAGCCCAGGTGATTCTGTGATACTTTTGGGAAAGGGGAAAGCAGCTTATGAATAAAGCAGATTTTTTTTTCCCTTGCAGATTTATTAGAAGAGAAATACGCTACTTAGAGGGGAAAACGTATTTTATTTTAATTACACTTCTAATGAGTACATTTCTCCCCTCGCTAAATATGCATATCATGTTTAATTCAGTTACTGTTTTCAATTTCTCTCTTACCAGCAGATAGCTTTGAAGCCAATTAAAATCTTTCAGTTGACAACTATAGCTGTTTAAGCTTTACTGAAACAAAAACTGTTTCTGAAACAAAGGTGGGCTAAATAAGAGAAGGTATTAGCTACAAGGCAACATAAATCTTGGAATGACGATGTGGTCATTTGGCAATCAATCAATCTCAACTCCCCGCTTTCCAGGTGAGGGTCTGGGAGCAGTGAAGTCACCCGCTCAGGGCCACACAGCCTGTGGGGGCAGAAGTGGAATGGGAGTGAGAGCCCCCACCTCTTGGGGCTGAGGGCTTCCCATTGTGCCTGGTTGAAGACAACGTCCCAGAAGGAGAGATGGCAAGGTATCTCACCTGAGCAGAAGAGCTGAAAGCCCCTCTGTCAGTTCCTAAGCCTCTTGGAGAGCCTATACAATACTGATCTATTTTTCATAGGCTCTGCGAACTGTGACGATGAATCTCTCTGGCCAGTCTTAGTAGACCCACACACTGACAAGAGGGAAAGCACAGTTGTAGTGACCACTGTGGAGGCCTGGATACATGAACTCAGGATCATCCCTGGAAGCTGGAATCACAGCTGACCCCAGCAAACCTAATGGCTGAAAATATAACAGTACGGAATAGATGTGGTCTATATCCACCTTATTTTTGGTATTTTTTCTTTCTCTGTTCACCTGAGCATTGTGCTGTGTAGATGTTCAAGGCCACTCACACTTGAGCTGGAGGAGCTTGCATCAAGTCCACAGCAGGCTACAAGGACACGCTGTATCGGCTAGAAGTGCACCCTAAATCCCCCAGGATCCCTACCAACGAGGACATGCAAGCTGTTCTGCTAAAGGCCTCCGAGCCCCTCTGTCAGACACCTGGCTGGTGAGGAATGGGTTTTGGCTCCAGAAACATTTTCTTTTCATGATTTTATTTTTAAGTAATCTCTACACTCAACATGGGGCTTGAACTCATGACCCCGAGATCAAGAGTCATAAGCTCTAGCTACTGAGGCAGCCAGGTGCCCCCCAGGAAACATCTACTGTTTTAAAAATTTTATTTATTTATTTGTCAGAGAGAGAGAGAAAGAGAGAGAGCGAGCACAAGTAAGGGGAGCAGCAGGCAGAGGGAGAAGCAGGCTCTCTGCTGAGTAGGGAGCCCGACACAGGACTCCATCCCAGGACTCCGGGATCATGACCTGAGCCGTAGGCAGACACTTCACTGACTGAGCCACCCAGGCATCCCGAAAACATCCAATGTTTTAAAGTGCTGGATGATGAGGTAGCCCTCAGAGATGAGCGAGAATGTTGTGGGGTGGGGGTGTGGTAAGAACAGGGCCCCTGGCCAATGTGCATGTACAACCCTCTTTGCCACCAGCCAAATCCAGGGGTGCAGGGAGGTAGGGAGAAAAGTGGTGAGGTGGAAGAAGGGTGCAGTGAAGAACGCTGGTCTGTTCTGCCTAGGGTTGGTGGGAGGCAGAAGAGGACAGAAGCTCCCAGAAAGTGATCTCTAACACAGCTTCCCCTCCTGCCACCCTGCCCTGCAGAAAGAGTCCAAAAGATCACAACTGTAGCTGGAATCCGGGGTTTCAAAGAAAAAAATCTGGCTGACAGACAGAAATAAAGCATGATCCTTTCTACGTTGGTCACAACAGTTGGTAAGGAGCGTACTGTCAGTACTGAAGGATCCCATTAAAATCCTAATGAAAACCAGGAGCTGAGAAGCCCTCTGGGATAGCCCTATAAAAGTGTTTTAGACGAGTCATTTCAACCCGACTGGCCAGGCATCGCAACAGGACTCACTGGTGAGCAACGATGAGTCTTATGTGGCAAATGATTCCACTGCCTATAAAATGATACTGGAGTCTAAAAACCAAGCTACCCCATATAAAAGGGGAGACTGGTGTCTTCAGAGCAGGTGAGCTAGTAAATGAGCAGTCAAGCTGGCTCAATTTCCTGCTCAAGTGCACCATCCTATGAGCTCAAAGCCTGGTCTTTTCTCCCTTCCTTTTATTTCCTACATCAAGATACCAAAAAAGGACATTCTGAAAGTCTTGCATAGAGCTCTCCAATCCAATCCAATCAGATGGGGCATGAAGGGAGACTTTTCTGGGGAGGTGCCTCCCTGAGGCTAAAGCCCGTTTCTCAGCTACAAAGGTGTCTAGATCTGCCCAGCGCTCAGAGGTAGAAAGTGCCGTAAATTAGGCTAGCTCTGCTCCTGCTTGGAGACACGCCCTCCACCACCCAGCCCAGGCTCGTGAAAGCCCAGGATGGCATGGCCCTGCCGTCCCGTGGGCACTTCGCTGACCCACCTCTCAGTTTCTTCTGCCAGTTCATTTCATTGAAGAGGTCCTCAGACCGTAGGAAGAAGTCATTGATCTTGCTGCCTTGCTCATCCCTCTCTGTAGTGTAGTATATTCGCAGTTTTGACTCCTTGGTTAGGAATTCACATATGCTGGGCACAGGGAACACAATCTGTTCCATGGTTCGGTCTAATCTTACAATCTAGGGTGAGAAAATGGAGGAGCTTAAACAGTCATTTTCAAAAACCTTTCACTAAGAATCTTTGCTAAGGTCATGGGCTTGGTGTTCACGACTGAGTATAATACAAACCTGTTCTTGCGTCTTCTCAGATTTTATAACCCCCAGACTGGGCCAAGTCTCTTACATTTATATAAAAAACAGTTTGGGCAAGTCTCCAAGAGTTGGTTGTTTCGTTTTGTTTTAACCTGAGACCCATCAATTTTACTGTGACTAACTTTTGTCTCAAGAATTTAAACTGTACTTTGTGTACATATCCAGATGAGGGGGCTAGGGCTGTCCAACAGAACTTTCTGTAATGAAGGAATGGTTCCGTATCTGAGCATCTACCCCACGTGGCTAGTGCAACTGACCCCCTGAATATTTAATTTTAATTTAAACAGCCCTACGTGGCTAATGACTTCCATACTGGATGGTGCAGTACCAGACTATGGGACAGACCTCACCTAAACTTCTCTGATAGCAAAATTAGTTGTTTTTTCCTAAATAGGAACTTTAAAAAGAGACCCGTGGTTTACCCAGTTGCAATGTCCTCCTATCTCTTACTTGTCATGGCATCTAAAGCATACAGTGTGTGAACTGGTCTGGCCATTTAACACTGGTGTTGTGCTCAGTGCCCTTTGAAGCAGCTCTGTTGGGCCCCAGCGTGGACACCTCACAGGTTTTCTCCGTGTTCTTTCTAGAGTGGCTCAATCTCCAGAGAGGAGGCAGTCTGGTGAGGACTGTTCAGGTTCTAGGATGCTGTACTTAGTCACCATCCTGGGGGGTAGGGATTTCAAAAGGGGTGCGGGTCACAGTACAACGGGGGCATGACCTGTCTTTATCCTTCCTCCCCAGAGGCTGGAGAAGTCAGGTGAGGCTCAGGGCCTACGCCCTCTTCAGGAAGATCTAGTTCTCACGTTCTCAACACTTTTGTTCCCTGACACAGCAAGAAAGGTGACTCTAGTCAAGCTGTAGTGGAAAGCTCTCTCAGATGTGTGACAGGTTCCCATAGCCCTATGTCTATAAATTCTGGGAGGCGTGGTCTTTAGACCAGTGGTTCCCAAATCTAGCTGGACATCAGGTTACAGGAAGCTTCCCTGTCATACTGATTCTGGTCCTTCAGTCAACCTCATTTACTGGAATTGTGGTGTGGGGGTTGGTGACAGGAGCCTGCACATGAACCAGCTCCCCCTGCAAGTGACACTGCTGTCCAGACAGGCTCAGGGACGAACTCCGCAGTCTCCTGCTGGCAAGAGCCTGCCTGCTTTGCACAGTCAGGTGGGCCGTAGATCTCCCTAAGCTGAAGAGATATGATGTGAGACGTGTTTCTGGAATCCAGAGGGAAAGGGAGGCTTCCTGGCAAGAACTGAGTCTCAGACTCCAGGGCTAGCCAGCCTAACTCCTGAGAGCCAAAGGCACTCTGTAGGAAGCCACAGGGAGTAACCGGGTGTTCTCTGGCTTTGCACAGGTAACTCCCTCAGGAAAGTGGAAGAAATGGGTGGTTAGCCAAGGGCAGGATTTGAGAGCTAGGGACAGCATGCCCGGCCATGTCTCTCCATCATTCAGTATCTGTCCACACCTCCTTTTCATGATACTTAACAACTGGGAGTCAGGAGGACACATTCCAATCCTTCCCCACCTCTAACAGGCTGGGTAACCTTATTCATAACTCTTAACCTGAGCAAGCTTCAGTCTTCTCTCCGGTGGACGAAGGAGCTCTGACGTTCTATGTTGCAAACACCTAAAGCTTGTCTTTTAAGGGCTCCATGGGACAGAGCTGGCCCTGCCATCAAGCTTCTCATCATTAACAATAAATCAAGGGTATTTGCCCACATGCACTGCTTTGGTCAACTCATCAGTAAGGTGATGCATTTTATTAGGACAGCCCAGACACACTTGAGACATCAGGTAAGAATATATTCCTAAAAAGTCTCCATCCTGAACATTTCATATGGCCCAAAGGAGTCTGTTAGCCCTTCAAAATCTTTGTTCTGACACTGATATTGAATTTGTGCACTTCTTCCTTAGCTAAACAAGGCACACCATCCCTCACTGCCCAGAGCCTGGAGACAGAAGTCTGTGTTCAATGCAGGTAACAAAATGCACCCAGGGGCTCTGGGGTTAGCCAGCCCTGTGTTACACACAATCCCATCTCTGGCCTTGCTAGCTGGGCTAATGACACACCCTCTCAGAGTCTTCTCTCAGCATCTCCCCATCTGCTCACAGAGGATGAATAAGGTATGCTGTGTGTATGTGTGTTTAATGCAGATCTGATGGTACCACTCGTGTGTAAGCCTCTCCCGAGGTTCCACACGGCTCTCCTGGTAAATCCGGACTTCTTGCAAGGATGGCGGATGGGATTCTGTAGGACCTGGGGCTGCCTGTGCTGCCCTCCCTGCTGCTCACTGAATTCCAGCTCCTTACCCTCACCTAGCATCTCCTTCCTCAGGGCCTCCACTTGTCACTCCCCATGTCTGCAAAGCTCTTCCCTCTAGAATCTGCCTGTTTCATTCCGAATTTTCCGAAGGTCTGTGCTTGGACGTCATTCTTCAGAACAGGCCTCTGTGACCGCCAGTCTCCAACAGGTGCCTCTGCTAGACTTTCTTAGAACACCTTCTACTTGTCCCCATGGCCTTGTCAGGATTCATAAGCAACATGCTGTTGCTCAGATGAATGACTGTGTGCCCACCCCAGCACAGGGCAGAACCCTCTGCAGGCCCTCACCACAGGCCGGTGCTCTGAGTGCCCCCTGCTTTTACCTCTATCTGGGCCGTGTGCTTGGCATAAAACTCCAGAGCTTCATCCCCATCCACTTGGCCTCCAGGTTTCAGCATGGTCTGAAGTTCTTTGTTATGCCGAGCCAACTAAAACGCAAATATAGAAAACATGGGAGTCACTGTCTCTTTGCGACAGGCACGTACGTACGTGCTCCTTTCCAGCCTGGGGTATAAAGAATGCAACCTAAGCAGCGGCAAGCTGAAGGGCAAAGGTGGCAGGAGGCTCGCTGCATTCCATCAAGGTGTGCTCTGCTTAGCAGCTATTTTGGGACCCTGGCAGAACAGCCTGGAAAGCTCAGGCCCACGTGAGGTCCCTCTTTCCCCTGATTTCTTTAGCCAGGCGGGAGGGAGATGGGGTTTCCTGTACAGCCACATGGAGTCTCCATTCAGAATGTTCCCAAACCCTCTCAGTGGCTAAACACGGGCAATGGAAGAGATGAAGGGCAGGAGCCTGTTTTCTATTCCTCCGCCAGCACGCTGTAGCAGGGCATACCAACCTCCTGCCCGGTACTGTCGCTGCTTTATCCCTAATTCCTGTACCTCAGTGAGGTGAAAGGGACAGGAAGCACAAGCCTGCAGCAGAGTTACAAGCTGCCCACACACATCAGCAAGCTCAAGGCACATCAACCTCCAGAAAAAGAAAGTATCTTCAAAAGCCCAGCCACTTGGGAAAAGAATTATGAAACAGGGCATTTTGGTGCCAAGGTAGGAAGTATTACTACACCCCCCCAAAAAGCAAACAAAAAGAAGTCATAATGATAAGTTAGTTCCCCAAGATTTCTAAATGTGATAGGCAAGGCAGCTGAGGTTTATTTCTTCAGATTGTTAAGATAGACTCATCAATATTTATGAAGAGCCTAAGACTCCTTTCAACTGTCTCCAAACACAGCCATAAACCATCGAAGTGTCAAGGCTCAGTGCGAAGGCTTTTAAGCAACGTGGGGATTTCCAAGGACATGACGCTACCATGGGAAAACGGAAGAGTCCTGGAACTCAGCACACTGGGTCAGGCTGCCACTCGTACCTGGGAGCCACATTATCATGAATACACACAGCCCGAGGTTAAAACCTTAAAGGAAAAGCAAGTTTAAGCACACATTCACCTTGGAATTCTGGCGCTGAAGGCCAGCAACATCTGGCGCCAGGACCTAGGGAGAGGTCATACCTGATGAGCCAATATGTAGATGTTGTGCCCCACGTTCCTGGGGGAGGCAGCTCCGTCCTCGCCATTTTCTCCATCCTCAAATTCCACCTCACCTTGCATGTAGGCTTTCTTGATCACTTCCACCTGCAAGAATGGTCAAGCAAATACAGCTCCCCATTTGAAGGAAGACCCGCCCGGGACTGGCATCTCCAGTCTCCACTCCTGGGGCAGACAGGGCCCAGGAAGCTCAGCATTCTTTCCTATCAGGTTATGGACCCAGCCTCAGAATCCTTCTCAACACTGCCACAGGCAGTCACTACCAATCAGCTTCCACCGACATGAGAAATGAAACCCATTTGCGGTAGCCGGACCAAGAGCTATTCTGTTCCCTTGAAGAGGACAATGGTTATAAAAGTTCCTGGAAACAATAAAATAGGAAAATGTAGACTAGAAGCAAGACTTTTTCTCTCTCTACATTTCTTCCCGCCATCTCTCCCTAACCCCCAACCTTCGCCATCTCAGGAAAAACTAGTAAGAATTCCACTAGCCTTTAGAAAGAGCTAGTCAAACTATTATCTCTGATTCTACATTTTTCCCCTGTCCACATTTCTCCATCCCTACTCCATGTAAAAATAACACCATTAACAATTAACATCTACTGAGGTCTTTCTTTGTGCCAAGCACTGTGTAAGTATTTTAACATTTTTTTATTTTGGGAAACTTAATGCTCATAAACATTTTATGAAGTGTCAAAGATTATCATTTATTATGGATGAGGAAACAGACTCAGAGAAGTAAAGGGGCGTTCCTAAAATGATACAGCTAGTGAGCTGAGATCTGATCTCGAATCTGCTACCAGAGGACCCATGCATGTTGCTTTTTTTCACGCTGCAAGCACATTTCCTAGAGCATTTCTGTACCTGTCTTACTGTTCCCACCTACATCGGTGCCCTACTCAGGGCCTGGAGGCTGGGTCTGCTCATTTCTCAATCTTTGCCCAGTGCCTAGCACAATGCCTTGGACAAAGTTGGGCCTGGCCAATGTTTATCACATGAACAAATCATTCAAGATTTAATCATTCAAAGAATAAGAACAAACCCTAAGTTGAAGGGAAAACCCAAGTTGAAGGGAAAATTAATCATTTTCTTTGATGATTCAGAGGGCATCTCAGCCTCCTGCGTTGCCACAAGGCTATTCCTTGGAGTTATTTTTCATTATCCCAGAGCAAGCATGCAGAGGGCCACACATTTCTGTACTGACATCGGGTCTGGCCCTGAAAGTAATTTTGGAGAAAAGATCCTCGAGACTTTTGATCTCTGAGCTGGATTTCCTGTTAGTTCTGATACCAAACTGAATAGACAACATGTTGCATGGGCTGTGGGGGCCAGAATATACACGTATGTGCACATGCATATGCACACACATATGTGCAGATGTGTCCTAGACATGAGTGCTTCTCTTCTGTGCGGATTCTTAGAACCATGTTTGTTCCAGGAAGCCTCTGACTCTTGCCGTGAGCTGGGAATGATGTTCTCCAACCACAAGGGGGCCACCCAGAAGCCTGTGGTGCCCATGGCCCTGGGGGCTGACATTAACCCCTCTCCCCCCACCAAGATGGGGGCATGTTGTTGGTCCATGGGTCCATGAGAGTTGGAACGGGGTCTCTATGAAGTCATTCTGTTCCTACTCACGAGGGACACCTCAATCTCCCCTCCCCCCATGCCCCCAGTTACATAAGCTATGATGTAAACTCAGAGAGGGAGTCCATCTCAGGCTAAGAACTCACTCCTGACCTCAGAGATCAAAGAGCTGGGCTCACTGTTAACTTTATTTCAAGGAATACATGAAGGGACTTTAGCCTGGCCCCCAGAGCACACAGGTCACCAGGCAACAGAAAAGTTTTAGTGCCCTCATTTAGTGCTGTCAGTTACAGTTTATTTGTGTGGGAAAAAGTCCCAACAGAGTTCTGTCCTCAGCTCATTTCACTGTCTCTGATAGCTGCCTGTCTCACAGGCTGCAGCACTAACCTCCACCCTGGAAGTCACAGCCCATTGTGAGTATCACCCTGCAAAAATAAACAAGATTTGTGTTTTCTTTGAAAAAAAAAAAAAAAACACCAAAAAAACCACAAAACCCAAGACATCGGCACCCAAGAAACACTCTTCTGTCGCCCTGACTATTGGCCCCTGGAAGAGATGGGGATTCCTTAGCTCTGGACGCAGACAGAGCACGAAGAGCTGCAGTGAATGAGGAAGGGGGATACAGTTCACGGAGGGCGCTGTGCTAGGGGCCTGATGCCAGCTGTCTGGTCTCGTCTCCAAAGCCACCCTCTGGCCTACAGGATATTATCATCTTCCCTTTAGGGATGAGGAAACTGTGGCTCACAGCGGTCAACTGCCCACCCAAGGTGACGGGGCCGAAAGGGAGAGCTGTGGACTTGAACTCCAGGTTGCCAGGCTCCCAGCCCCCAGGAGGGGAAAGGAGAGGTGAGGGCGGCTGCCGTCTGTGGCTGTGCCTCGGGGAGAGGGCAGACCCCACTCACTCGCAGCACTACCTCCTTTCTCCAGCCTGGTCGGAGGCCTGAGTCCGATGTTCTCTTTAGACTGCTGATTCTTTGGCATCCTTAAGAAAACTCAAGGCAGCAGGTTCCCTTTCTGCCACAAATCCTGCTCTGACTGTGCTTCGTGTCACGGCCAGGGGATCGATCAGCCACCCAACTCACCAGTTCCTTTGGCCTCATGTTATAAAGGATCCTCTCTGCGTTTTCGCTGTCGTGCCTGCTCTCCATGATGGCCAGCAGCAACTTGGAAGCGTTGTTCTAATTGGGACAAAGGGAGGAGACAGTGGAGAGGAGCAGCCTGGGGTAGCTGGCCCGAATGCATGTGCCCAGTTGAGGCAAGCACTGCAGCCTGGCCAAAGAGACAGACATCCCGCGGGAGAATCACGGTTCTAGCACAGCAAAACCCACCCGCACGTGACAGAGAACTAGCCACTGCAGACCCCAACTGTAACTGCAGATTCTGCTTTGAGTCTCCGAGGAGCATGTTTATTTGGGCATAGCTTCTCCCTAATGTTACTTGACACAAGTCCTAGTGGAAATTGGGAATTTAAACATGGGTGTTTATGGGTGTGTTGGCACCCCCATGATGCCAGTGGTTGGGGAAGAACCTGCTATTGGACCCATGATGCCTTCAGGGCAGGTGTGGCTTTAAACCTGTTATTCAAGCTTACAGGGCAGAGAAGATAGGCAATTAAGGTAATTCCTCTCTTTCTTAAAATATTACTATCAGCTCTCATAACCCCTAATATTATAATGAGAGTACAGCTGACACCAGTTAACAAAGGTGACCCAAAGGAGCACCGTATGCATGCCAAACCCTAATTTCCCATTTCATTCAAAGTTTTCATGTGCCCACACCCTGTACTTCTTGGCTTGACCTCATTTTAGGTCCTGGGCCTAGGATAACCTGTATGCTTCTTTGTGTATAGGACTGGAAAATTCTTGCTATTTTTCATAAGAGGGGGGGAAGTATTTTTTTCCTTCCCAAGTATGGGTCACAACAATTCGATCAGGATTCTGTGCCATCAAATAGTGGCCTTTCAGAGCACACAAATTTCTACCATAATCCACAGATTACTGGATTAGTTGAAAAAGTCACTGGAAGGCTGATCGGTAGCACATAAAATTCTGTTCATTTCAGGCTCTCATCATATACATTCTGATAAATGGGAGCCAGGCACATGAGCTTGAATTAATGTTCAAGTCAATTCTACAACACAGCTTGTCAAAGGAATTAAAAATAGCACACCCACCAAAAAAATCCATTTAAATCATACCCCCAAATCAACTATCAATTTGGACTCTCCATTCTAAATACTAAAGGAAAAATAAAAATAATTGTGCAATTCCTGTGGGCTTCTGTGTTAACACCTTCTCTAATGACCTTTTTTTTCCCATGACACTGTTTATGCAATAAACATAGATTAGCTTTTCAGCTAAACCCTGCGGTTCTAGGCAATTCTGTGACAATGACAAAGTGTTCACTGCTGTGTATGGGTGTGAGAGAGAGGACGGATCTCAACATGCCCCGACATGGGAACAGTTAAAAAGGAAATGTGCTCAGTGAGGCTAACACAGTCTGAAATACTTTGGACACCCAAGAGGTCTTTGGACTCTTAAAGAATCTTTGGAACTCCTAAATACAAATGAGGGTTTTCTTTTGGGGGGATATGCTTAAGAAATCAACATCAGAAGTGGCATCCTGTCCTAAGACCCTTATTTGGAGGGGAAGACTGAAGTTTTGCATTTTAGTCAGAACTTACAACATAGATCATTCATTTAGTCTAAACGAGCTGCCGTATTTAGTTTCATAACATTGACCGTATCACGTGCAGAAGCAAAACACAAAAGTGACTATTTTCACATGCTACTGTCTTTTGCTTTCAATTCCTACTTGCCTTCAGTTCTAATACAAGGTCCATCCTCTTCTTTCCCAAAGGATTGATGTCATTAAGGATCAGGGCTGTGATGATGTCAATGCCATTGGATTCATGGGTGGCTATGCAGTTCTGAGGAAACACACACACACACACACACACACACACGCACACAGACATTTACACATATGCTGGTCATAAATCTGATGTCAAAAGCCAAGAGGCTGAACTGCTATTTCAACACAATGCTTGCCACTCCCAGTAATGTCTCTAGGGGCGAGCTGCAAATTTTCCGTGAGAAAGTGGTAAAAAATAAAAGACAGATGAAAATCGCTAGTTTCAGAATTAACAGTAAACAGCAGGAAAGTCCCCATGCACTGTAACTGATAAATTGGTCGTGTCTAATCCAAACAGTGCAGTAAAGTTGGCTTTTGTTCTTAAGGGAAAATACGGTGTGTGACTGATTCTGAGTTCTGAGACCTGTTTTCCCCTTCAAAGGTGTGTTCCATTCTCTCTACATCACTTGGTTTTCGTACTGCATACTTTTGCTTAAGGCTTAAGCCTGGAAAGCAAGTTTCCTGTTTAATTCACACAATACCAAAATTAATCATTTTCCCCCAGGTAAGGTCCCCACTGGCAGCAGAATCCATTCCAGTATGTGCCTTTTAACAGATCTCTGTTTGGCAGAAAAGCAAACTTGAGGTTATAAGGAAATTCACTTAGATGTTAGATAAAGCCTTTTCCCCCAAGCCTGTTTTAATTTTTTTATTCCTTTTCACTTCAACTTTGACTACACCATCTGTCTTATCAGTGAACCAAGGGAGGAAAGTGGATCCAACACATGCTAACCTCATATTTATAGCCAACTATGACCAGGTGTTTGATACACAGTGAATTGTCCCTTTTGTCAGCCATTCTTCTCCCCTGAGCGAAGGTCGTGGCCTTGCTCCCCAAGTAACACAGCATATCATACCTTCCCCGTCAAGTGAGTTTAGAACTGGCAATTTCAGTGGTAGTCTACCCCCTTCAGCCAGAATAGAGCCAAAATTCGAGTTTAAAATCATAATCATCCTAGTATCAATGCAAAAACTTACAAAGTCTGCAATATGCCACGGATAAGCAATGAACATTCTACTTAAGAAATGGTTGGGTTACCCTCTAAAAATCTACTTCTTGAGAGGCCAACATCAAGACTAATGGGCCTTTCTTTTCTCTGAATGTCTGTGGTGTTAAAATCTCAACTGAACATTTCCTCATGTTGTTCAAGCTATCTTGTGGGTGGCAAGGTTTCTCTCTCTAGCTAGCTTTAAACTTTTCCCCGTTAAGTAGCCACTGGTTGAGTCTTTCCCAGCATTTAAAATCGAGCCCAGTCTTCTGGTCTTCACTGAACTCCAACTTTATTATCTACCCCTAATCAAGTTAGTCAAATTTGGACATTTAAATTAAATCAAGCCAAGACATGTCACGCCACGCATGGAAACCAAGGACAAGCCTGCCAGTGCCTATGATTAGGTCAAGTCCTAAAGCATGATGAAGTGTCATAGCTCCTTCTTGACTGCTGGAAAAAAAGATCTCTAGTTCTAGTGACTTCCTAGGCCAACAGGCACATGTTTTGTGACTTCTGAACTAGTTCCTGTCAACAGCATTTCCCAAATAATGAACATTTTTTTCCCTACCCCCAAATAAAAATGGAAGTACCTGGTTCTCATGGCATGGTCCTTGACAGTATTCAGTCAGACTTTCCAGGGTTTGGTTGATGAGGGCTACGTTCTTTTCATTTATATAGAGCCCGAGAAGACCAAGACCTCCAGTAGTGCTTCCACAAATACAGTCCAGGAACTGCAGCGTCTCACACACCAAATTGTAGTTGGTCTTGTTATTTTGGCAACGAAGGAAGTTCTACAATTGGGCAGTGCCCAGAATGGGGGAGCAAAGTCAGAGAGAAGAGGGAAAAGGTCATTCATACTGCCATTTTGCTGGGGTCTAATTGGTTGATTCTCTGAATTGATTAGCAATTATGCAGAGAGACGGAGCACTGGAGAGAAGAGTCAGCCCCCATGATGGTCAACTGTGGACTTGGTCTATGGCAATGGCCACCAAACACTGTAGCTTGTTCTCCAAGGTGCTTTTCTATGTGAGGCTGTGGAGGAGGGCTCCTCTTTGACAGACGCCTAAAGGCTTTTTGAGTTCCCCTTTCTCTTTCTCCCACTCCAGCCCATGCCCTTCCCACCAGGTATTGGGTTCAGAAGCATTTGACATTTCAAAGGGCAATGTTTATGTTTAAAAGATGATGGTGTGGTCTGGACGCTGAATGCCTGGAGCCTAGTACTAGGGATGGTTCATAACAAAATAAGGTGTTTACAGGCTGACTTAAGCTCACTGCCATGGCAGAAACCTGGGTGTTTTCTTTGGCCATTTCCATTAATTATTAAAGGAAGGGGCAAGAATGAGTAAACGTTTGTGTGCTTGTGTGCATGTGCTTAAATTTATGTTCTCCAGCTAAACCTATAATGTTAACGAGACAGAAGAGTAGGTACTTCCTCAACAAAATCAAGCAAACCACATTCAACCACCTCACAAAGCAGAGTCTATTTTGATGAAGAGATTTTTTTCAGAGACTCTTCTTAAAATCTCTTTTTAAAAAGAAGCAAAAATTAACTGCGAAAAAATTTTAAAGCTGTTGTAAAAGTTACATATTTATCATAGAAGACAGTACTATAAAAAGATATAAGCAAAATATAAAAAAAATGTAACCTTTGACATGGTAATTCCACTTCTATAAGATACTCACTTCTATTCACAAAGTATATATTGGATGTTCATTATAGCACTGTTTGTAACAATGAAGAACTGGAAACAACCTAAATGTCCATCAACTGGGGAGTAAATATAGTATACCAACATCATTTAATGTTACAATTTAGAAACACTAAGGTAGGTCCATATGTGCCAATATGGAAAGATCTTTAGGGTATACTGTTAAAAGTTAAAAAAACCAAAAAGGCAAATAACGGATTAGTATGTATACACTAGTCTCATCCAAATACACAGAGGAATGACTGGAAAGATACCAGCCAACCAGTTAGTTTGTTGTCCAAACCAACAATAGTCCTCTCTGGGTAGAGAGGTAGGGAGGGGGAGAGGAATAATTCTTTTTAACTAACTTATCTTCATTTGAACTTTTATAGAAAGAATCTATTCACGTATTCCTTGTATAATTATTTATAAATGTACAGATTAAAAGCTGGTAACAAAGTTTAATGTTGGACTCATCAACTAACCATTTCCCTCTACTCTCCTAACTTAACTTTAGTTGTTCATGCTCAAGTCTTTCTAACTAGTCTAAAAATTGAACAATCACTTGGGTCAGGGAGGGTGGTGGAGGAAGGACGGATGATTTGGGACCATGTGGGCTTTCATAAGATGATTGTTTTTCTAAAGGCCATGCGAAGCCATGGTAGGTTTTCATAGCCATTCCTTGATTCTGTTCCTTAGGGAAGACGCTAACTATTTGAGGGCCAAGCTGAGCCCCTCATCATGTAGAGAGGGAGGGAGAAGTCTTCAGGAAGAGGATAGGAGAGGGCCTGGATGTCCAAGGCTGAAATTCATAGCATGGCTCTCCAGGCCATTTGCCTCTCAAACTCATGTGCCACAGCTCCCACCATGCCCCTACCCACTCAGTGACATCACTGCTCCCAACATACCTCCCCCCAGCCGCTCAGAAATCACTGCTCCCACCATGCTCCCCCCCCCCGCTCAGTGACATCCCTGCCCCCACCACGCTCCCCCCCTGCTCAGAGACATCACTGCTCCCACCATGCTCCCCCTCCCCGCTCAGAGACATCACTGCTCCCACCATGCTCCCCCCCTGCTCAGTGACATCACTGCTCCCACCATGCTCCCCCCCTGCTCAGTGACATCACTGCTCCCACCATGCTCCCCCTCCCCGCTCAGTGACATCACTGCTCCCACCATGACCCCCTCTCTGCCAGGAAGCAATGAACGAACTTCTTCCTACTCTTCAAGCACTCTTCATTCTCTTCCTCTGGGGCTTCAGGCACACTATTCCCTCTGCCTGTCATTCTCTCCCCATCTCTACCCCAATGAACTCATCCTTCTTCAGAATGGAATCTCAAGTCACTTGTCTCAGGAAGCCCTCCTGACTCCAGTGAGATCAGAGGATGGCACACAGCTCTCTCAGCCCTCCTTACACTTCATGATGTGCTTACAGAGATGTCTGTCAGCTCCGTCCAGGACCATGGTGATAGCACGGGGTGCCTGGCAGCTAGCACAGTGACTGGCACATGCCAGGTGCTTCATAAACACTGGCTAGAATAATCTGAATTAAATTGAATGGATGGAGGAAAGGGGACTTGTGAAGTCCTCAAGCCTGTTGTGTTTCAACTCCTCATGAAGGATAATTGGCTGCCCTTTCTTGAAAGCCTCTCCCACAGCTCATGGTTTTTGCAGTGTCAAGCCCGAATCTCCCCCTCCCTAGCTCAGATCCATTTCCTCTGTCCTCTACAAAAACAGAGGGATGCCACTCACTAGGAGGCTCACAGGGACTATTTCTATGTTCAGGGAATAGATTTCACCCTTAGCACACACACCACCCTGCCTTGTTTAGGCTAGAGAAATCCTGTTCTTTTTGTGGTTTTCCTTGGAGCGCCAGGGACCAAGTCAAGATGGGTGGATTGAGAAATGAAAAGATTTCAAGTCTGTTCTCATACAGATGTCAGTGGTAAGAGACCTGCATTCCTTAACCGAGCTGAAAAGCAAAGCCAACCCCTCAGGGGAAGGACAGAAAAGACAGGCAAAACGTCTCAAGAATAGTTCTTCCCAGTAAGTTTCTTACTACTGTGGACAAAGCTTGCTTAAGGCAGCAGCTGTCTGTTTGGCAAAGTCAAAAGCAGTGGCCTTATCTCTATTGAACATTTACCAACAGGAAAGTTAAGATGCTGGGCAACTTCAAAAGGCTGGATTCCTTCTCTCGTGGAGCTTGTTAGTACTTCTTTATACCGGGGCGGGGGGGGGGGGCAATAATTCTGTCCTCGTGAGAAAGTCTTTTCCCTTTGGTACACAAGCAAACTTTGACCCAGAGATCCACCGTCTGCTCTGGAACACTGCCAACAGGGTGGCACTCAGAGTAGGTGAATCCCACTCAAAGCCATCATTTTGAGAACCAGATTTCTACAAATATAATTTTATCAGAGCAATTTTATCAATACCTCAGTGTGTACGACATAGTGGGAACCTTTAAACATGATTCTAACCTTTATCCTTGTGAACCACTGGTTCAGATCATTGGTTTTCCACCTGGGCCCTGCAGGACCCAGGGGGATCCCTGGAATGCACCACCTCTCAGGGCTCTGGTAGTTACAGGAGGAAAGGAAAGTTCTTGTGCTCTGTAGTTTCTACTCTGAATAGAACAGCTTTGCTCTCATCTGCTTTACTTAGTACATTTCTGCATAAGATCTTAAACAAAGGATTCTGTGGCCAAAACCAAAAAAGTGTAAAGCCACTGACTTGGAAAATGTTTATGGTACTTTCAAAGATTAAGCTAGGACTTTTTTTTTTAAGCTGTAAGACTTTAAAAAAAATATATTAAAATATACTCTACATTCCCCTTTCCCCCAATACTGTTTTCCACAGAGCGATGTGTTGGAGAATCAAATTTTGGAAGGGCTCATTAAAAGGTGATTCTGCCCATGGGGTTCTTAGGGCCTTAGTTCAAAGGAGAGGTATGTGAAGAGCTAAGGTACAAAACTAACACTGTGAAGACTTCCACACAAGAACTGGCAAATTCGTGCAATGAAAGCCTTACTCTCCTTCCACAGTGGACTCTGGGTATGGGGCTAAAGAAGAGAAATCAAGGGGTACCGTGGAGGAGTCAGAACAGGTCCATGAAAGCTGACCAGGCTTGAGAGCAAGCATGTCAGCACTGCCCCTCCGACATTCGTGGAGGGATTCTATTTGAGGCAGTCTTGTGTTAGTTCAGAACTTGGCAGTTATTGGGTCCTCTGAGAAGTCTTCCTGGATCCAGCACAGTGGGTTGGTTTGCCTGCTGTGAACCCACAAAACCCCTAAGATGACACCACTATAGCATTTATCATGCTGCACAGCAATCTTGGGTTTCCCCAAGTGGCTCCTGCCCAAGACTCTCAGCTCTGTAAGGGAAGGGGTGAGGTCTCTGTCACCACCAATGCCGGGCATACAGCAGGTATTCACCCAGATGACATACAGGCATGGGCTCAACCCACTTCCCCTCGGAGCCCAAGGTCAGTGGAGATCAGTGACAGCAGCCTGGGGGGACAGTACAGGGCCCTGACCACCGAGCTTAAGCCTCAAAATAGCCCCAGCAGCAGGGAGGTCTCCCCATCCACAAAGATGCCACAATTGGCTTTGCCTTCCTGCTGGTGGGACAGCCTGGCTTTCCATGGTGTCATTCACACTCCCTTGGCCAGTCTCCCTCATGACTAATGGTGTACATATGGAAGGTGGAGAGGGCACAGTTGGCCTGCAGACAGAACACCAGCCAATGAGACCACAACCCATCCCTGGATCTTTGAGTCATGAATACTTTGTTCTACCCGGCTGAACTAGGCAGTCCCAGGCCAGTGGGTCTGGGGCCGACATGGTCTAAGTCCAAAGTAAGAGTATTTGAGCAATAGGCAAGAAAAGAAAAACTAACAGCCGGAATCCCACACGCAGACGTTGAGAGGGATCAAGCAGGGAAGTCAATGGAGGAAATGAATGAACAGCAATGTGGAAAAAGAGCCCAATGGGGCTTACAGGAAATGCTTTCATTTTTAAATATGGGCCAGATTTGGCTGATGGATGACCTTGGATATACCTGTCTTTTCAAAGCTCAGGCTCTTCAGACCAATTTGATTAAAAATAAATACCAGTATGGAAGTTGTTAATACTGCAGACTTCACCCAGTTCCATTTCATTGTTCTGTCTTACTGTTTAACAATGTAATTTCTTACTCAACTTTTCCAGGCATAGATTGTGTGGCAGGGTTGAAGTAGGAGTGATTTACGGTGGCAGCCCCAAGGGTTCTGGCCACAGGTGACGTGTGAAAGGCCATCAAATCACCTGATGGATAAAGTCAGCAAGGCAAATATTTTAAGAGTGCACCTTTTCCTTACCACTGTTTCCTTTTCCTACCATCATTATTCAAATAACTGAACTACCACTGCCAACTTGTTTATTTTAGGAGGCAAGATTCTATCTTAGTGGAGTTGTTCAAACACAATTTTCTTGTTAATCCTCAATCCCTTTTAGGCAGAGAGGGGTGTTTTTCCCAAAAGCCAGCAGCAAAATCAGGCAATGGCCAAGGTCTTGGTGCTCTAGCATGCTGCTCCTGGGCAGTGATTGGCTCCACAGAGCTATGCCCATTCAGTAGAAAGAAACATCTCTGAGGGCGCCTGGGTGGCTTAGTCGGTTAAGTGGCTGCCTTCAGTCAGGTCATGATCTCAGGGTCCTGGGATCGAGCCCCACATCGGGCTCACTGCTCAGCAGGGAGCCTGCTTCTCCTGCTCCCCCTACTTGTACACACACACACACACACACACACACACACTCTCTCTCTCTCTCTCTCTCTCTCTCTGTCAAATAAATAAATGAAATCTTAAAAAAAAAAAAGAAGGAAAGAGACATCTCTGGAATCCATCCTTAGTCCTTCCATATAGGCTTTGCTGGTGGGGAAATTTTTTAAGGGAGAAAATAAGCTCTGTCTTAACATGGTGGTTGACCACATGAGCTCTACCATCAGATGGCCTGGGTTCAAGTCCCGGTTCTCCACTCCCTAACTATGTCCCCTGAACCTCAGTTCCCTCATCTATAAAATGAATATAGTATCAGCAACACTTAGCATCCACGATATTCTAAGTGCCAAACCTCGGCCATTGTTATCATCCTGACATCAATAAAAAAGTAAACAAAAGGTTTCTGAAATAATCAGTTCAGTACATATATTTGAGCACCTATTTGTGTAAAACCCTGGAAGGCCACTTTTCATTCATTCAACCAACAAATATTTAATTGGAACTTTCTATGTATCAGATTTTGTAAGTCTAGTATATTTAATCATTCATCCGTCCATCCAAGTTTTACCTGTGCATCTATGGCAGCCTACCACATGCACACACACACAGGCACAACCCACATTTCACTATGTATGCGGCAGGCACCTGCATTGGTGAGCAAGAGACTTGATTCCTGTTCGTGTGGAGATGGGGGGGAAGACAGACAAACATGTCAGTTGCCCAGATTTCAGAACCATCCTGGGTCCTCGACTCAGGGAAGCTGGTGGCAGCAAGGGGAGCAGAGATGTCTGAGGAGCTGCAAGTCCCAGGGGCCAGCCCTCACCTGCAGGTCCCGGTTGTGGTTTTCGCACAAGAGCTGCAGGAACCGGAGAATGGGCTGCATGATGGTGATGACCGCGCTCATCTCCAGCTCGTCCTTGGTCTTGTCTGCCGTGGCCTGGGCACCTTCCCCGGACTGGTAGTGGTCGTCGGGGTCAGCCTCCCTCCTGAAGGTGCTGAAGGCTTTCCTGGTGGCAGCAGAGGCCTCGAGGAGCTGATCTCGGACCTCTTCCGTTATTTGTGTCGAGGGCTCTTTGGCTAGAATGCAAACAGAAGACACTCAATGCTGCTGAGTCCTCAGGAGTACGATTCACTGCAGGAAAGATAATGTTCAAAAATGTAGGTCCTGGTATTCACTAGAACTCTTTCAAGGTTGGCCAAACACTCCAAGAAGTCACTTCTCTTAGTCCTTAGGATTAAAACTGAGTCACGCCCTGCCAACTGGCTCACGGCTCTGACATTTCATCTAAGCTTGCACTGTTTCAGAGGAAAAGCCTTAGTATCGGCTCTGTCAACCTCACAAACCTATATGACTCTGGGCCTCAGTGCCCTCATCTGCAAAGCGGGGACAGCATCAGTGAATTCTACCTAGAGAAGCTTCTGAGAGGGCAACATAACAATGACCACAACTGTAATTACTGTTACTGTGGTGACAACAGGTTGAGTGCTTTCCACTAAGTACCCAGGCACTGTGTACTACCTCATCGAATCCCCTGAGTAACCCTGGGAGGTAACTAGGCATCAGAGTGAGGAGTTTGGTGCTCTGGAGCCAGACCACCTGGGTTCAAATCCTGGCTCTACTGCCCACTCACTGCATAGCCTTAACAAGGACAAGTTAATCTCCACTCCTCAATTTTCTCATCTGTAAAATGGGGATAACAATTCTATTTTACAGGGTTAATTTCAGTTCCAAATGAAGTAAAGGATGTAAAGGACTTTGAACAGTGCCTGATTCATAGAAAGTACTTAGTAAATGTTAGCCTTTCTTCTTCTCTTTACTCCCATTCTAGATCAGTGGTTATAAACTAGAGCTGATTTTGTGCCCACCCCTGCCCAGGGGACAATTAGCAAAATCTGAGGACACTTCCAGTAGGCTGCTGGGACAGGCTGATGGCATCTACGGGGTAGAGACCACATATGCTGTTAAACCTCCCGCAGCGCACAGGACAGCCCCTCCAGCAACTCATCCTCCAGATGCCATATGTACTGTGGCTGAGAAACCCTGTTCTAAGCTCAAAAAAAGAGGCCCGGAGTGGCTCATTAACCTGTTCACAGCCATTTGACTCGAACACTGGTGCATCTACGTACTTCCAAGTATGACCTCTCTTCAAGTGAGAGCATAAATGAACAACTTTAGACACTTTCAGATAATTTAGATAAATAAGGGAGAATTAGGTAACAAGTGATGGACACCCAGTTTTAAAGTGCTTGTCTTTTTTTTTTTTTTTTTTTAAAGATTTACTTACTTATTTTAAAGAGGGAGAGAGAAAGAGAGCTCTGGCATGAGCACTGGGGAGAGGGAGAGGAGAGAGAGAATCTCAAGTAGACTCCCCACTGAGTGTGGAGCCTGATGCGGGGGTCAATCCCACAACCCTGACATCATGACCTGAGCTGAAATTAAAAGTCAGACACTTAACCAACTGAGCCACTCAGGCGCCCCTAAAGTGTGTGTCTTCCTTAACTTTCCTTACCACTGAACAGAAAATTACAGGAAAATGTTACAAATGGATTTCCTGACAATAAAAGCTTGAGCCTGACCAAGAAGAAGGTATGTAAATTTTTTACAGGAGAAGAACTGCCAAAGCATGGCAGTTCAGCTCTGGTTACTTGGGGAGAATTACATTAAAACCAGACCGGTTTGCTTCTCCTGAAAGCCTCAGTCGGAATACAGTTTGGAGTCTGGAGGTCCAGCTGGTGGGAGGGCTGTACACAGGGGAACACTTACCTTTTTTCCGGGACGGGGCATCCCTGTCTATCTCATCATCTTTCTTTTTATTCCCCAAGTCACTGGTGTTCACGGTCACTGTTGCTTTGATTTCCTGCTGGGCCACCTTCATTCGGTCATAGAAGACTTTGAAGAATTTTTCTGACTTCTTATCTTCTGTTAACCGGCAGAAAAAGGAGTGCTGCCGAGGAAAACCCACAGATTTTCAACACTGAGACAGACTAGGGATCTAATCCCACTCAAGACACCAAAATCTCACGGAGATCAGAGCCAGTTGCAAAACCTCACAAACGGTCTAGGTTTGGACCAAAGTGGGTTCCACGCACTATCGTTCTCTGGATTGTATGGCCTGAGGTTTTCTATACAGAGACTTTAAAGCAGCCACCAGGGGATGTCCCCTGTCCCACCAGGGGAGCAGACACACAGGCTTGAGACACATGCTAAAGGGTGGTGGGGAGATTCCAGGCTACTAAGAACAAGGGCCTACACACACCCAAAGCAACTCCATCAACAATGGAAATGACGTAGTTTTGGTAATTATTGCAGGTCCTGTCATGTGTTTAAGGACTTCTATGAGCCTCTCCACTTTGCACAGCCCTGTGAATATATACAGATCAGTAAGATGGGCTGCCTGCCCCTATAGGGCTCCATAGCAAGTTAGGATGACAAGTCCGTAAGTAAAACAAAAATGTGTCAGTAAAAAGTACTCCAGAAGCTACACAGACAGTTATATACTAGAAGCTCAGAGCTTGGCAAGGATGACAGTGGGCCGGAGTGATCCCAAAATCTCTGTGGAAAAGGTGATTTTCAAATCAGGTCTTGAAGGACAGGTAAAGAGTGGTTAAATGAAGAAGCTCAAAGTTAACAGGTAGTTTGCCTCTTGGATACACATTTGTTTTTGGGCCCACTGCAAGCAACAGTATACAATGTTGATGTGAAAACACAATATGGTGTCTCAACTTCATTTATGAGTATTCTCTTTTCACCCCTTTTGCAAACACCACGCTGTTGCGAATTATTTACATAAAAATACAATACGGTCATTTCCAGAGGAATAAAACAAAGCTCCAAACAATATATTTGCTTCTCCCAGTTGGATCTTTCTGCCGATTTCACATCCTCCCCCATTTGGAAAGATGGCATTTCCCTACCAAAGGTGGCCTTAGGCTTGCAATCCTAGAAGGAAGTAAAACCTTACCAGCCACTGTGGCCCCTTAACTCCTCAATCCCTCACCCCGCCCCACCTCCCCCACCCCCAACACCTGCTGCCAGGTTCAGCAAGCCCCGGGAAAGCCACCACGTGTCCATCTGCCAAAAGGCAACTGCAATCGCTATGACCCTTCTTCTAGCCACACTAGCCCCTATGCTGCTTTGACAAATGTCAGTCTCTTTGGCTGACAAAGCACTTCTTGATTGTGCTCTTTCCTCCCCTTCTCACTGTTCCTCCTTACTTCTGGTTGTTTTCAACATACAGCACAAGAGCTATCCTTCCTATTTGTGCTCCCTGGTTCTATCTTTTCCCCTCCAACAGCTCCCAGTGGCAGTACAAGTCATCGCCTACCTACTGCTTGGCCTTATTCTGTGTGTCACTGAGTCCTCCCAGACTCCCACACTCTTTGAACCAAGCTCAAGTCTTCCGTGTCCTCCATTGCCCTCTACCACCTTGTATCTTCTTTTAGGTTTCTTACCATTTCATCTATCCACTCATCATTCCATCCATTTTCTTATTCATTCATGCGCCTGTGCATCTATCTATCTGTTTATCCATCCATCTAGTATTTACTGTGCACCTGTCATGTGTTGGGCACTACGCCCATCATAGGAGATACAACTGTGAGCAAAAAGAGGCCTGGACCCTGCCCCCCTTGAAACTGGTAGCCTGGTAAGGAAAAGACACAGTGATTCAATAATCACCCCAAGGATGTTTTACTAGAATAGCCATTTATATCCTTATGAAACTGACCCAAGAGAAGGCTGGCAAAAGAATACTGTATCAGACACTCAGGGCCATTGCCTTGCTCTTCCTCACTTTTCCTGGCTCTTTTCCATGGCTAGGGTCCCCTCATCTGCACTAACATCACCTCCTCAGTGAGGCCATCCCTGATCATCCTGCCTGAAGCAGCAATCTGGCCAACTGCTTATTCTCCTCTGCCCTATTCTCTTCATAGCAACGGGTCTCTGTTGTATTTGTCATTCACCTGCTTACTGTATGTCTTATGCAGAGTGTTAAGTTCCAAGGGGGCAGGTGCCTCACCTGTATGCTTTACAGCTGTCTCCAGAGCACCAACACATAGGAGTTTCCTAATCATTTGATGAAAGAATGAATACAACCCAATACTTCATGGCTCCTTTTAACTACAGCCTCTCAATCAGATCCTGCTTATATTCAGTGGCTGTGCCAGAAGTAAATCCCCAACATAGATTAATTCTGGAAAACTGCTCAAATATGAAAAAGCAAGTTCTAACTGTTCACTTCTTTGAGAGCTGAAGCATCTACAAACAAAAGGAGAGATGTGGGGACTAAGAACTCAACCTCTACCCACCTAATTATGGTGACTACATATTTTACCAAGATAAGCCATACAATATTTCACCCAAAGGGGGTCACGGGGAGACTGCACCAGAAGGGGGCCACTTGGAAATTAACTTTAGTTGCTACCCCATTAGTCTTCTCGTTGCATGGAGGCAACTTAAAAAGCATCCTTTGGACAATCTGGTCACTCAAAAACAAACAAAACAACAACAAAATGCACTTTAAGTAGGTAAGCAAATAAATAACTAAAGCGCACCATCTGTCATTGGTAACAGCGCAACCCGGTGCAGAGCAATCACCAGCTACAAACCGCACTGCTTAACGTCTAGCTGGTTAACCCAACAGATGTCAACTGATAGGGGTCAGGGGAAGGGAACCTCTTATGAAATGGGAGAAGGGCAAGTGACTGAGGATTACGCACTTCTATATATGTTTTGCAAAAGCCACTATATTTATTGTGCATTATTTATATCAGTCCTTAGTCCTTCAAGGATCTGAAGCTGCTCTATAAACAGAATGTGGTCAAGAAAATAAGAAAGTAGACCCTAGGGTACAGAGACATGAATAAGCACAGAGGACCAAGATTAAACAAAGCCGGAGGCTGGAAGGTGGAAGAGATGATTCAGGGCAGTCCAAAGTCCCTGGAATACCCAGCCATCAAGCTGAAATGGGAGGCATGCTCCATCGTGGTTATTAGTAAGTATCAAAAGGAGAAATACTGCCAATGCCTCGAAGGAAGGAAAACTGTCCTGAATGAAGGGGTTAGAAGGCAGGGTTTCCAGTCAGAAGCCCCTGGGTCCCTCTCTCACTAGCTCTGTCACCCGAGGCAAGTTAGCCTCTTTGAACCCATGTGAAGGGCTGCCGCAGTGCCCACAAAGCACTTAGCACAGGGCCTGCTGAGCACTGTTTTTAGTTTTTTTTTTTTTTTGTACCACCATCACATTAGTATAATGTGAAAACCCCACAGCAAAGGGGTCCCCCTAAGTGGCTAGGACAGGGTAGTGAAGTGTGAGAATTCTGTCTCTGGAGTCAGAGACCCCAGGGTTTCAGCTCTGCCACTTGTGAGCTGATATCACCTTAGAAAGTGACGATATCTCTGAAACCTAAATTTTCTCATCTGTAAAATGGGCATGGTAACAGTACTGCACGGTGGTTATGAAGATCTAATGAGAAAAATCACAGTAATACGCACAATGACCGACACTTCCTGACTGCTTATAAGGTGCGAGGAACCCAGAGTAAACCTTCATGTGCGTTTTCTCACACAAAAATTATTCTATAGGGGAAGTTATTACTCATGTCTGAGAGATCAGGGGACCTCAAAAGATAATGGACATCAAGTAGTTGGCATACCCCCGAGATGCCCACACTGTGACAAATGTAACCTCACCAAGATGCTGTGAGAGTCAAGAGCTGTCGCCTCAAGTCTCCCACCTGAGAATCTAATTAAAGATACTATGGAAGGAAGAAGCCTGGTCTCCGGAAGGGAAGCAGTACTAGCTTGTGTAAGAGGAGAAGTGAAAAGCGACAGCAGTGCAGAAGAGCTAAGATACCTGCCCCAGATGTGCCATGGGGAGAAACGGGGGGGCTCAGGAACGGGGGCCCTCAGTTAGAGGCTCCTGGAGGCAGTTACCACCCCTCTCTGGTGCCCAGTGTGGTCTGTACTCAGCCAGACCAGGGCTCTGCACGTAGTTCAAAAGCCTGTTTGTTAAACCTCTTTCTGTGATACTGTATTTGGAGGACTTGGGAGGGGAAAGGGAACACCCTCCCCAGGACTGTTTTCCCAGATGCAGGTGGGACCTCAGACCAGAGCAGGTGGGTACTTGGCCTCCCAGGCCTCAGGCTCTTGAAGCAGGGCCTTTTCTTTTCTTTTTGTTTTATTTACTTACGTTTTTAAATTTAAATTCAATTAACATACAAAATATTATTGGTTTCAGAGGTAGCAGTGATTCATCAGTCTTATATAACACTCAGTGTCCATTACATCATGTGCCCTCCTTAATGCCCATCATCCCTTTACCCTCTCCAGCAACCCTCAGTTTGTTTCCTATGATTAAGAGTCTCTTATGGTTTGTCTCCCTCTCTGATTTCATCTTGTTTTATTTTTTCCTCTCTTCCCCTATGATCCTCTGTTTTGTAAATGGCAAGATCTCATTCCTTTTGATGGCTGCATAATATTCCATTATATATATAAATATATATATATATACACATACATACACACACATACATACACATACCACATCTTCTTTATCCATTCATCTGTCGATGGGCATCTTGGCTCTTTCCACAGTTTGGCTATTGTGGACATTGCTGCTATAAACATTGGGGTGCATGTACCCCTTCAGATCACTACATTTGTATCTTTGGGCTAAACACCCAGTCATGAAACTGCTGGGTCACAGGGTAGCTCTATATTCAATTATTTGAGGAACCTCCAAACTGTTTTCCAGAGTCGCTGCACCAGCTTGCATTCCCACCAACAGTGTTAGAGGGTTTCTCTTTCTTGGCATCCTTGTCAACATCTTGTCATTTCTGAAGCAGGGCCTTTTCCACAAGCTACTTGTTTACTTTCCTCCCTGAATCTATGAATCGCCCCTTTCTCCAACTAAGAGCCAGTAGTGCCAAGTAGAGATTGTTTTGCTTTA